AATTTTAGAGTAGGTGTGATGTGGTGCTGAGAAGAATGTATATTCTGTGGATTTGGGGTGGAGAGTTCTGTAAATGTCAATCAGCTTTGCTTGTTCCAGGTCTGAGTTCAAGTCCTGGATATCCTTGTTAATTTTCTGCCTGGTTGATCTGTCTAATATTGACAGTGGAGTGTTAAAGTCTCCCACTATTATTGTGTGGGAGTCTAAGTCTCTTTGTAAGTCATTAAGAACTTGCCTTATGTATCTGGGTGCTCCTGCATTGGGGTCCATATATATTTAGGATCATTAGCTCTTCTTGTTGTATTGATCTTTTTACCATTATGTAATGTCCTTCTTTGTCTCTTTTGATCTTTGTTGCTTTAAAGTCTATTTTATCAGAGAGGAGAATTGCAACTCCTGCTTTTTTTTTTTTTTTTTTTTTTTTTTTTTTTTTTTGCTCTCCATTTGCTTGGTAAATCTTCCTCCATCCCTTTATTTTGAGTCTTTGTGTATCCTTGCATGTGAGATGGGTTTCCTGGATACAGCACACTGATGGGTTTTGGCTTTTTATCCAATTTGCCAGTCTGTGTCTTTTGATTGGTGCATTTAGCCCATTTACATTTAGGGTTAATATAGTTATGTGTGAATTTAATACTGCCATTTTGATGCTAGCTGACTGTTTTGCCATTAGTTGATGCAGATTCTTCATTTTGTTGATGCTCTTTAGCATTTGGTGTGATTTTGGAATGGCTGGTACTGGTTGTTCCTTTCTATGTGTAGTGCCTCTTTCAGGAGCTCTTGTAAAGCAGGCCTGGTGGTGACAAAATCTCTGAGTACTTGCTTGTTTGTGAAGGATTTTATTTTTCCTTCACTTATGAAGCTGAGTTTGGTTGGTTATGTAATTCTGGGTTGAAAGTTCTTTTCGTTAAAGATGTTGAATATTGGCCCCCACTCTTCTGGCTTGTGGGGTTTCTGCCGAGAGATCTGCTGTGAGTCTGATGGGCTTCCCTTTGTCAGTTACCCGACCTTTCTCTCTGGCTGCCCTTAGTATTTTCTCCTTCATTTCAATCCTGGTGAATCTAATGATTATGTGCCTTGGGGTTGCTCTTATTGCAGAATATCTTTGTGATGTTCTCTATATTTCCTGGACTTGAATGTTGGCCTGCCTTGCTAGGTTGGGGAAATTGTCCTGGATAATATCCTGAAGAGTATTTTCCAGCTTGGATTCATTGTCTTCGTCACATTCAGGTACACCTATCAAAAGTAGATTGGGTCTCTTTACATAGTCCCACATTTCTTGGAGGCTTTGTTCATTCCTTTTTGCACTTTTTTCTCTAATCTTGCCTTCTCATTTTATTTCATTGAGTTGATCTTCAACCTCTATATCCTTTCTTCTGCTTGGTCAGTTTGGCTGCCAAGACTTGTGCATGCTTCATGAAGTTCTCTTGTTGTGTTTTTCAGCTCCATCAATTCACTCATATTCCTCTCTAAGTTGTCCATTCTTGTTATCATTTCCTCAAATCTTTTTTCAAGGTTCTTACTTTCTTTGCATTGGGTTAGAATGTGTTCTTTTAGCTTATGGAAGTTTCTCATTACCCACTTTCTGAAGTCTGATTCTGTCATTTCATCACACTCATTCTCCGTCCAGCTTTGTTCCCTTGCTGGTGAGGGGTTGTGGTCCCTTATAGGAGACAAGGTGTTCCAGTTTTGGGTGTTTTCCTCCTTTTTGCTCTGGTTTCTTCCCATCTTTGTGGATTTATCCACCTGTCATCTGAGTAGTTGCTGACTTTCAGATTGGGTCTCTGAATGGACCTCCACATTATTGTTGATGAAGTATTTCTGTTTCTTAATTTTCCTTCTAACAGTTTAGCCCCTCTGCTGTAGGACTGCTGAGGTCTGCTCCAGGCCCTGCTTGCCTGGGGAACACCTGTAGCAGCTACAGAACAGTGAGGGATGCTACCAGTTTCTTCTTCTGCTATCTTAGTCCCAGAATGATGCCCGCCAAATGTCAGTCTGATCAGTCCTTTGTGAGGGGACTCTTTGGATATACGGGGGTCAGGGAGCTGCTTGAGGAGACAGTCTGTACTTTATAGGAGCTCAAGTGCTGAGCTGTGAGCTCCATTGTTCATTCAGGGCTGTTAGGCAGGTATGTTTAAGTCTGCTGCAGCAGAACTCATAAAGCCCCTTTTTTTCCTCAGGTGCTCTGTCCCGGGGAGGTAGGGCTTTATTTATGAGTATCCATTGTACTGCCCTGCCCAGCAAGGAGGCAGTCTAGTCATTGCCTGCCTGCAGAGGCTATGCTGAGCTGTTCTGGGCTCCACCCTGTTGCCATGGGCTCTGCCCTGCTGCTGTGTGTAATTCCCTGTAGTCCTGTTTATATGGGTGTGGCGATGGTGGCCCACCTCTGTAAGGGCCATTTAAAATTTTCTTTTCTATGCCATATCTTCTCTTAAAAGAATAGGATTTCCATAGATAGAAAGATTTAGGAGGGGGAACAGAACATAAAGAGAATGGAAAGATAACCTAAAATGAAAGCAGGGCATGTCCAGGAACACAAGGCAGACTGGATGGTGCAGGGAGAGAGGCAGCAGGTGAAAAGGCAGGAAAACCCAGGGAGCAGCCAGCCCTGCAGGTGGTCCGCACCAGGAGGCAGTAGATCGTCCCCAGGGACTAAGGTGGAGCTTTCAGGGTAAATAACATGATTAGAGTGGTTTTAGAAAAGTAAAGGTAGGAACAGGTCCTGGTAACATAGAAATTGGATTGGTTGAGTCCAGGCATGAATTATTAAGGACCTACACCAGGTTAATGGCAGTGTGATTGGAAACCACGAACAAGAACATTGATAGGACTTGTGACCAACTGGATATGGGTACAGCAGGGAGCCGGGACATGCTATGACACTGTGCATTTTGCTGTCCTGATTATTTGTGGGCACCAAGAGGAGCAGGGAAACTACAAGCTTCTTACTTACCAAATGTTCATGACAGTATCTTCTCAATAGTTCCCTGAGGTAGGTAGGTCATTAATTCTTCTGTATAACTACTAGAAACAGTGGGCTTATGTAATTTGGCTTAGAAGAGCTCATTTAGAGGGGAAATAACAAATTTAAGACTTTTTAGTTTATAGACTGGCTATAAATGGCCAGTCTGCTCTTTTAGTAGTGGTCTTGAACTTGTTATTTCAAGACTGGACTGTTTTATCCTGGCTTGGGGAAGGCATGTAGCCTGTGCGAAGGACTTTCTCAAGGGCACACAGAGATATTTGAGGGATAAATGCAATAGTAATTATCATTAGTGTTAGTATTAGTATTGGTACCAAAACACGAAAACTATCAAATCAGAATCAGTACGTGCTTAATTCGGTGTTTGTAAAACCTACGTGAGGTTAAATTGTTTTTCCACTTTGTAAGAATTCTTTATTATTCACATGCTTAAATTAAATGGTTTATTCTTAACCAAATAATTATAAGCATATAAATAAATTGAATATTTATGAAAAGGCATTTAACCTGTTATTTCCTTTAATCCGCAGGACAAGTTTATATGGTAGATATTATTATTTCTGTTTAATTAATAAGGAAACTAAGTCTTTGAGATGTGTTATCCGAGTCTCACAGTTAGTAAGCAGCAGAGCTGAAATTCAAACTCAGACTGCTCTAACTCCAGAGCCCAAGTTTATAATCATGTTGCATATTACATTGAGAGTGAGCATATATCTGACAAGGGAAAAAGACAAGTGGTAAGGGCCAAAGATTAAAATCTAAAGACATCTGCATTTTCCAAGAGTAGGTTAGAAAAGGACAGAAAGTAAGTGGTCCCAGAGGTTGGATATAAAGAGGTTAGCTCAGGCCACACTGACAGAGGTGGTTCAGCCTCATGGATGGGAAGAGAAGTGATGTCCTCTGCTGCTGAGTGGTCATTGAGGATGAGACACCCTGCATGACCTGACCATGAAAACACATCTGTCCTTGGAAGAGGTGTTTCAGTACAGTGCATGTAGCAGAGGTCAGACTACAGAGCATCCTTAGTGGGGAGCTCATTGTGAAGAAACAGAGGATATCTGTGACTTCACCTCCTCACCTTTGTCAGCTGCATCCCAGGTGCAATTAGGATTCTGCAATAATTTCATATCTTGTTACCTTCTGCTCCTATTTATATGAGAATTGCATTTAAACCACAGAGAATTTCCACTTTTCTCTTACCTAGCCTGTGACTTTGACCAAAGAACCTTCTCTGAGAGCCCAGGCATTTCAGATGGAAGTTCTGAGTTGTCCAAGCTGGGATTCATATGATTAGTTGGGGAGCCAAGAGGGATGGAATGGGCTAGGAGGACAACATGCTGCACCACTGTATGAATTCCCAGCAGCTGCTGTAGCAAATGACCTCAAGTGGGGTGGCTTAAAATATCAGGAAGACATCTCACAGTTCTGAAGGCTTAGAATTTTGAAATCCAGGTGTCAGCAGCATGGTTCTTTCTGGAGATTTTTAGGCAGAATCTACAATGCCTCTCTCTTAGCTTCTGGTGTTTGCCATCAATTCATGGTCTTCCTTGTCTTGTAGACTCACCATTCCAATCTCTTCCCCCATTTTCTGACAGCATTCTCCCTTACATTTCCAAATGTCCTCTTACAAGGACATCAGTCATTGGACTATGAGCCATTTGAATCACATATGACCTCATCTTAGCTTGATTACATCTGTGAAGACCTCTTTCCAAAAAAGTCCTAGGGGTTAGAACTTTAAAATATCTCTTTGGGGGGACACAATTCCACACTTACTCTTTCCTTCTGTGATGGAAAAGTATCATGCTCTTTAAGTTTGACCACTGAGTTTAAGAGGTGAGGGCCCAGTGGGGTCTCCTGGACTGCAGACATTGACACCGAGTGCTTGAATCATTTCCCAGTGTCAGCCTCATCTGCATAGTGGGAAGAATCACCCAGCTACTGGAAGAGTGAACTGCTCTATTTGTTTCTTTGTTTATCCATTCTTCACTAAGCTGAGTCTTTGCTTTCTTCTCTGCAGAAACCAATAGAGCCATGGCAACTCCCTCTGCTGCCTTCGAGGCCCTTATGAAAGGCGTGACAAGTTGGGATGTACCCGAAGATGCTGTTCCATGTGAACTGCTTCTTATTGGAGAGGCTTCATTTCCTGTGATGGTGAATGACATGGGCCAGGTCCTCATTGCTGCCTCCTCCTATGGCCGTGGCCGCCTGGTGGTTGTGTCCCATGAGGACTACCTGGTGGAAGCCCAGCTCACGCCCTTTCTCCTGAATGCGGTGGGGTGGCTTTGTTCTTCCCCTGGGGCTCCCATTGGTGTACACCCATCCCTGACACCTTTGGCCAAAATCCTCGAGGGCTCTGGAGTAGATACAAAGGTAGAGTCAGAAGTGAAGGACTCCCTTGGGGTTTACTGTATTGATGCCTACAATGAAACCATGATGGAAAAGCTGGTCAAGTTCATGAAACATGGTGGCGGCTTGCTGATAGGAGGACAAGCCTGGGATTGGGCCAGCCAAGGTGATGATGAAAGGGTTCTGTTCACATTCCCCGGGAACCTCGTGACCAGTGTGGCTGGCATTTACTTTACTGACAACAAAGGGGACACGAGCTTCTTCAAAGTCTCCAAGAAGATGCCCAAGATTCCAGTGTTGGTTAGGTGAGTACCTTACCCCACCGGGGAGTTGGCACCAGGTTAAAAAGCATACCCAGTTCTTATCTTCAGGTTGCTCCAAGGCTAACAGAAGAGTGCTCCCAGGCACTCAGGAATTCACTACAAATCAACTAGATTTTTAAAATGCCCTGAGGCATAGGAGGGGAAGGTCCTCACTGTCCCCGTCCTCCCAGACCAGACCATTTAGTTCTTTCATAGTTATAATTTACTGATGGCTATGGTCCCAATGTCTTGCTTAATGAAAAATGTGTTGTTGGCCCCAACAGTTGGCCTAATTAATCCAGATAGTTCCTAGGAGAAGAAATGTGAAGAAAAGGAAAACAGGTCTGAAGCACCCGGTGAGCCAAAGCCTAGAGGGCTGTGGGAAAGGTTCTGACATGTCCATCCAGATAAGGTTAGGATGCAACAGGAAGTAGAAGCCTTCAGAAGTTAAGATATCAGAAAGATGCTTCAAGTTATATGCGCTAAATATTGGATTTAGGAGTGGCAAAAGATCAGATGATCAGTAATGAAGGAGTCAGGTGATGGGTGTAGGACAGACTGCATTGAATGTTCTTGGAGTGTACTGCCCTGCCTGCTTTGCTCTCACTGTACTCCAGTACCACTTATAGTGCCTAACAGATAGCAGATCAGTAGGTGCTAAGTAAACATTTCTTGCATGCATGACTGCATGGATGAATGAGAGGGAAGCATTTGCAAAAAGCATGATCATCTATGTAAAAAAGAATTCTAAAATATTTACAGAAAAACTACTATAATAATCAATTTTAACAAAGTAGTAAGATTCAAAAATCAATTTACAAAAACCAATTACTTTTTTAATATCCTAGCAACCAACAATTGATAGTTAAAATTTTTAAATACAACATTTAAAATAGAACCCAAATTATGAAATACTAAGGGTTAAATTTTACAAAATATGTCCTGAGACCTGTAAAGTGAAACTATAAAACATCACTGAAAGAAATTAAATAAAACTGAAAGTAATGGAGAGATATACTGTTGATGGAGCGGAACATTCAATATTTTAAGATGTCTGTTTTCCCCTATTAGTCTACACATTTAATGCAATCCGTAGTTCAAATTGATTCTAAAATCAATATACAAATGAAATGGAAGTAACATAGCCTAATTTCAAGACTTTGTACAGAGATGAAAACACTGTGATATTTGCATAAAGATAGACATGCAGATCAATGAACCCTAGAGAGTTTAGAGATAGACCCACAGATTTATGGTCAATTGTTTTTTGACAACGTTGCTCAGGTAATTCAATGAGGAAATGACAGTTTTCAACATATGGTTCTGGAACAACTGGAAACCCTTATGGAAAAAAGGTGAATAGTGACCCTTACCCCACTCCATAGAAAACAAATATTTAAAAATAGAGCTAGACTTAAATGCAAAAGCTAAAATGTAAAAACTTCTAAATGAAAACATAGGAAAAAATATCTGTGACTTTGACCTTTGCAATTTTTGCCTATATAGGGCACAAAAAGTACACGAACCATAAAAGGAAAAAATAACAAATTGGGCTTTATTTTTTAAAATAAATAAATAGACACTTCCCTTCAATAGACAGTAATAAAGAAACAAAAAGGCAAGCAACAGACTGGAAAAAAATATTCACAATACTTATATCTGACAATGGACTTACATTCAGAATACATAGAGAACTCTTACATTCCAATATTAAGACAACTATTGTTTGTTTTTGTTTTTTGAGACAGGGTCTCACTTTCTGTTCCAGGCCGGAGTGCAGTGGCACAAACATGGCACCCAAGCAATCCTCCCTCCTTAGCCTCCTGAGTAGCCAGGACTACAGGTACATACCACCACACCTGGCCATTTTTTCAATTTTTTGTAGAGATGGAGTTTTGCCATGTTGCCCAGGCTGTTCTTGGACTCCTGGGCTCAAGCAGTCCTCCTGCTTTGGCCTCCCAAAGTGCTGGTATTATAGGCCTAAGATACTACACCCTGCAAATTTTTTTAAGGTAAAATATTTTAACACCCTTCACAAAAGATAAAATATGAAAGGCCAAAAAGCCCAAATGATTCTTACTATCATTAGTCATCAGAAAAATACAAAAACTAAAATCATAAAAATGGCTAAAATTAAAGATTCACTATACCAAGTGTTGACAAGATTGCAGTTTTATGCATTGCCAGTGAAAATATAAAATGACACAACCACTTTGGAAGACAGTCCAGCAATTTCTTATAAAGTTAACTGACAATTAACATACAGTTTATCCATTTCACCACCAAGAGAAAGGAAAATAAATTACAAATGGTGAGTTGATTTAAATATTTTAAAAAATAGCGAGCAAGGTTCAAAAAATTTATGATATGCTAGGTTTAATTTGTAAAATATCTGGAACAATATGTATCTATGCACATATACTAGCATCAAAAACAAACAGGGAAAGAACATCTTTTTCCAAGAGAAAGGAAAACACGTCCACACAAAAACTTGTACATTAATTTTTAGGGCAGCAAGCCCAAACCAAAGAGTACCCAAATGTCCATCAGCAGATGACAGGATAAACAAAGTGTAGACAATCCCCAGAATGGCATAATACACAGCCATAGAAGAGGATGCATTACAGATAGGTGCCACAATATGGCTCATTCTCATGAAGTTATTCTGAGTAAAAGAAGCCAAACTCAAAGGAGAACATAATTCATTATTACGTTTATATGAAGCTTTAGAAAACACAAGTCTAATGTTTATGGATAGAAATCACCTCAGTGGTTGCCTGTGGTTGTGTGTAGGACCTCGACTGATCATAATGGGCCAACAGATAGCTTTTGAGGGTGGTAGAAAAGTTGTATATTTTCACTGTGATGGTGGTGGTTACTCAGATGTATAAAATTAGCTCATCAAGATGTACTTTGTGAATTTTATCACATCAATGAAAGTGATTGTTAAAAATCGGCACATTTAAAATTTCAACACCATTTAAATGGATACAATTAGAGGAGTCTCATTCCTTCCCTACTACTTGTAATCTGTTCCCATTCACCCCTGTAGGTACCCAATTTCATTGGTTTCTTGATTATTCTTTCCCTGTTTGTTTTTGATGTTTGTGCATAGATACATATTGTTCCAGATATTTCACAAGTTGAAGAGCATACTATACATTAATTTTTTGAACCTTGCTCACTATTTTCCTTTTTATATTTGTCAACTCACCATTTTTAATGTATTTTAATGTGTGTGTGTGTGTATGTATACAACAAGTTTTGATATACATAGCAAAATGGTTACTATAATCAAACTGTTGACTTTACATATTGAACACCTTCCATAGTTAATTCTCTTCAATATGTGTGTGGTAAAAGCAGCCTCCTCTCTTAGCAAACTTTCAGTATACGTTATTAAAGATAGTCTTCATGCCATCCATTAGTTGTCTAGGCTTATTCATTTTACCTAAGTGAAAATTTGCACCCTTGATTTACTTCTCCCTGTTTCCTCCCCTCCTCATCCTTAGTAACCACCATTGTTTTATTCTCTTTTCTTGTTTGACTTAAAAAAAAAAAAAGATTCCACATACATGTGAGCTCATACTTTTGTTTTCCTGTGACTGACTTATTTTACTTAGTATAGTGTCCTGCAGGTTTATCTTTTCTTCTCTGTTTTTCAAGTGGCAGTATCTCCTTTTTAGGGCTGAATAATATTTCATTATACATATATAGATAAGGAAGTTATCTCTCTATACACACGCACACATATATGTATGTATATATACACACATATATAAATGTTGTATCCATTTTAGTTTGATACAGTTCCATGTGTTTATTTTTTGCTCTTGTTGCCTGAGCTTTTGGTGTGATAGCCAAAATGATTATTGCCATGGCAATATCAAGATTTTCTTCCTGTATTTTCTTCCAGGAGCTTTATGGTTTCAGGTCTTAAGTTTAGGTCTTTAATCTAGTTTGTATTGTTGACATATGTGTATCACAATTGTTTTGTCTGTTCATCCATTAATGGACACTTAGATTGTTTCTGTAACTCGGCTATTGTGAATCATGTTTTGGTGGACAGATATGTCTATGAGATACTGATTTCACTTCTTTTGAGTTGAGTATATATCTAACAGAGATATATCTAGGACATATGGTAGTTCTATTTTTAATTTTTTTTTGGAACTTCCAAACCATTTTCCATAATGGCTGTACCAATTTACATTTCCACCAAGAGTGTACAAGCAGTGTTCCCTTTTCTTCACACCCTTGCTAAGACTTACCTTGTGACTTTTGATAATGGACATTCTAACAGATGTGAGATGATACCTCATTGTGATTTTGATTTCCATTTCCCTGATGATTAGTGATGTTGAGCATCTTTTCATATACGTCTTAACCATTTGTATGTCTTCTGTGGAAAAATGTCTATTCAATCCCTTTGCCCAATTTTTAATTGGTTTTTAAGGTTTTTATTTTGTTTTGTTTTGTTATTGAGTTCTATGACCTCCTTATATATTTTCATATTAATCCCTTATCAGATATCAGGCTTGCAAATATTTTCTCCCAACCCATGGGCTGCCTTTTCACTGTGCTAGTTGTTCCTTTGGCAGTACAGAAACATTTAATTTAATATAGTTCCAGAAGCTCTCCTGTATGAGGTGTCTGTTGACCCCTGCTGGAAGGTGTCTCCCAGTCAGGAGGCATGGGGGTCAGGGACCTACTTGAGGAGGCTGTCTGTCCCTTAGAGTACTGCACTGGGAGATCCACTGCTCTCTTCAGAGCCAGCAGCCGGGAAATTAAGTCTGCGCCCACAGCCGCCCTTCCCCTAGGTGCTCTGTCCCAGGGAGATGGGAGTTTTATCTGTAAGTCCCTGACTGGGACTGCTGCCTTTCTTTCAGAGATGCCCTGCCTAGAGAGGAGGAATCTAGAAAGGCAGTCTGATTACAGGCTTTGCAGAGCTGTGGTAGGCTCCGCCCAGTCTGAGCTTCCCTGAGGCTTTGTTTGCACTGTGAGGGGAAAACCACCTACTCCAGCCTCTGTAATGGTGGATTACAAGAGCTCCACCAAGCTCTAGCGTCCCAGGTCAATTTGAGACTGCTGTGCTCGCAGCAAGAATTTCAAGCAGTGGATCTTAGCTTGCTGGTCTCCATTGGGGTGAGATCTGCTGAGGTAGACCACTTGGCTCCCTGGCTTCAGTGCCCTTTTTAGGGGAGTGTATGGTTCTGTCTCACTGGCATTCCAGGTGCCACTGGGGTATGAAAATAAACTCTGTAGCTAGCTTGGTGTCTACCCAATGGCCACCCAGTTTTGTGCTTGAAACTCGGGGTCCTGGTGATGTAGGCACTAGAGGGAATTTCCTGGTCTGTGAGTTGCAAAGACCATGGGAAAAGCATAGTATCTGGGCAGGAATGCACCATTCCTCACAGCACAGTCCCTCACAGCTTCCCTTGGCTAAAGGAGGGCGTTTCCTGGCCCCTCATTCTTCCCTGGTGAGGTGAAGCCCCACCCTGCTTTGGCTCTCCATTGGCTGCACCCACTATCTAACCAGTCCCAATAAGATGAGCCGGGTACCTCAGTTGGAGATGCAGAAATCACTGGTATTCTGCATTGATCTCACTGGGAGCTACAGACCCAGGCTGTTCCTATTCAGCCATCTTGCCAGCCACCTCAAGACTTATTTTCTTTTCATGTATGAAAATTGGGATTATCTGTTTGGCAATTACATTTTTAGTTTAATCAGTAACTTTTTAGAGTAGCCTGTCCCAGTTATTTAAGAGAGAGGCAATATATCTTCTTAGGACTTTCCAATGATAGGAAGTACTTACTTAGAACATTCTTCTCTTTTGTTGCTGCTGTTCCCTTGGGAGTTTAGTTGTTCTTCTCTTTCATGCTGTTAATTCTCATCAATATTTGATGGCTCTTGTCTATTTAAATTTTAAATTACATTTAAATCCTAAAATGATCATTATGGGTTATGGCAGAACATTTTCACAGGACAAATGATAATCCTTGGTCCTTTGTTCTCCTGATCTTCTCTTTCACATGTGTGCAGTTAGATTTTTCTGTGATCAATCAGATTCCATTTGAGTTATATTTTTTATAAATGTTTTCACTATCCCAGTTTGCTCATTGCACCCTTCTCAAAATCCAGCGCTATAATGGATTTATTTATTTATATTGAGACGGAGTTTCACTCTGTCACCCAGGCTGGAATGCATTGGCGTGATCTCAGCTCACTGCAACCTTTGTCTCCCGGATTCAAGCAATTCGGCTGAATCATCTCAGCCTCTTGAGTAGCTGGGATTATAGGCATCCACACCATGCCTGGCTAATTTTTGTATTTTTGTAGAGATGGGGTTTCACAAGGATTTATTTATTTAATAAGTTTTGTTTCATTTCAGAAGAGGGTAAGGAAAAGAAGTAAAATATAACTTATTTTTTCAATGTATGAAAGAATTACTTAGCCCCTCCTGTAATGGCTGTTGGAACTAATAGACAGATGTCTCTGAGGGTGCCTCCTGGCTAGACATTGAGCAAGACATCATGTAGTCTCATTGTTCAGATGAAGTTCTAATAACTCAGTGTCTGAGTCTCAGCTTTGCAGGTTTAACTTCTCTCATCTTCTCAGTATGCTCGTATAAAAATCCTGAAGCTGATGTATTCACTTAGAGCATAGTAGCCCACCTCTTCACTCATTTCACTCATAAAAACAATTTCATGAAATTTGTAAACAAGGCCAGTGCCAGGGCTCATGCCTATAATCCCAGCACTTTGGAAGGCCAAGGCAGGAGGATTGCTTAAGCTGAGGAGTTCAAGATCAACCTGAGCAACATAGTGGAACCCCCCACCATTAAATTTAAAAATCAAAAATAAAAGAGAAAAAATATAAACAGAACTCTAATTATAAAAACTAAAACACATTTTTTCATTTAATTTTACATACATGTATAAAGTACTAAAATAAAAAATGAATTTAAAAAAAATTTTAGAGTCACCAAATTAAATACAGACTATCCAAAATGTTGCTTGAATAAAATAAATGTTACAAATCTAAAATATTCTGGTTGGCCTAGCCAGTGACTTCTTTCTCTCATTAGGCAGGTGATCATGGGAAGCAATATTATAATCACAGAGCTGTTCGGTAAGCCTCTAATCAGAGCAAGAAGAGACAGTTGAATTATGTTAATGGTTAGTTCTTTATGGAGTTAGAGAGTCATCCACTAATTAGTATGGTGGTCACTTTATCTTTAGTAAAGGGTTGTACTTGCTAAGAGGACCATAGCTTTCCCACCAGTTAAAGATCTGCTAGCCTGAATACTGAAAATAAGTTGTCCACTGGACCCTCATTTTTTGGTGTTATCTTATAGCTACATTCTACTATACAATTCCCATAGCTTTACCTAACAAAAGTGACAGAACCAAAACTGGAATCTCAGGCTCAGAGAGGCCACTCTACTCCTTAACCCCACCTTATCCAGTGTTCCATCTCATTTTGGCTTTGTGGGCATCTTGAGAGCTTCTAGGGTTGGGTTACCCACCGACAGTAAACAGATGGTGCTGAGCAAAACCTTATAGCATGGACATGCATCACTCCTGTTGGGCAGGCAGTGGAAAAGTGGAGTTCTAGATGCAGACAGTAAAGTCCTCTTGGGCTCAGGTAACCAGAGGGTCTCAGTAGAGTTGAAGCCAGTCAGTTCCCCTGCCCCACCTTTTGAGATAATAATGATTCTTCTCTAGCACTACTCACTTGGCCTTCCATAGACCATAGTAGGAAATTAGCTGCATGAAATTTATGAACAAGACTTCTTATAAGGAAAAAACATGATTTCCCATATATATATGCATAGAGATGTATATACGTTGTGTGTGTGTGTGTGTGTGTGTGTGTGGGTGTGGGTGTAGAGAGAGGGAGAGGGGAGGATTTAGAGGATTGAAATAAACATGAAGTTAAATCTGGAATATTTAAGACATGGTATTGAGTAAACACAGAAGGACTCCCTTTGCAATTTCCATTGGAGAATTTGTGCTCTAAGAATGAGCAGAGCAAAATTAATGCTGAGTCCCTCTGTCACCCCTCCAACAAGTCTCCATACCCAGTGAGGTCAGATCTGTCCTTTTTGTTCTCCCAATTTTCCTGTAAGAACTAAAAATAACAGTATTAGTAAAGCTAACACATCTATAGCACTCACTGTATGCTGTCCACTGTTCTAAGAGCTTTATACAGAACTGTACCTCTAATAAAGAATGCATGTGTCTTTTGCAGTTGTGAAGATGACCTCTCCGAGGACAGAGAGGAGCTTCTGCATGGGATTTCAGAGCTGGACATCAGCAACTCAGATTGTTTCCCATCCCAGCTGCTAGTGCATGGGGCTTTAGCCTTTCCTCTAGGGTTAGATTCCTACCATGGCTGTGTTATAGCGGCTGCCCGCTATGGCCGGGGCCGGGTGGTTGTAACTGGCCATAAGGTATTATTCACTGTCGGTAAACTGGGCCCCTTTCTGCTCAATGCTGTCCGCTGGCTAGATGGGGGCCGCAGAGGCAAGATTGTGGTGCAGACAGAGCTGAGAACCCTGAGCGGCCTGCTTGCAGTGGGGGGCATAGACACCAGTATTGAGCCCAATCTGACCAGTGATGCAAGTGTCTATTGCTTTGAACCTGCGAGTGAAGTGGGGGTCAAAGAACTGCAGGAGTTTGTAGCAGAGGGTGGCGGGCTGTTTGTTGGAGCCCAAGCCTGGTGGTGGGCCTTCAAGAACCCAGGAGTGTCCCCTTTGGCTCGATTTCCAGGAAACCTCCTCCTCAACTCCTTTGGCATTAGCATTACAAGCCAAAGCCTCAATCCAGGGCCCTTTCGTACTCCTAAGGCAGGGATAAGGACCTATCACTTCCGCTCCACCTTGGCCGAGTTCCAGGTTATAATGGGCAGGAAGAGAGGAAATGTAGAAAAGGGCTGGTTGGCAAAGCTGGGACCAGATGGTGCAGCTTTCCTGCAGATTCCTGCAGAAGAGATCCCTGCCTACATGTCAGTGCATCGACTCCTGAGGAAGCTGCTAAGTCGATACCGGCTCCCAGTAGCAACCCGAGAGAACCCTGTTATCAATGACTGCTGCAGGGGTGCTATGCTTTCCCTGGCCACAGGGCTGGCCCACTCTGGAAGTGACCTCTCTCTGTTAGTCCCAGAAATTGAAGATATGTACAGCAGCCCCTATCTGCGCCCCTCGGAATCTCCTATCACTGTCGAGGTCAACTGCACCAATCCAGGTAAGGAACAAGGGTTGGGAGCTCAGTATTATGGGAATGGGGGAATGGAAACAGGCTGACTTCAGCAGTCCATTTCAGGGACCCAATCGTGTCCAGAGGGCAGTTTCCATCCTTTACCATGAACTTTGAAGAAGATAAGGGTTATGATTTTAAGTGTTTGGAAGAGTTGAATCAGGGCAGCGTGGAGGGGGAAGATCTGTGCTTATGAAGGGTCTCTGGTGACACTGGATGAAGATGGCATCACGGAGGAGGGATAAAGTCTGTCTGTCCCTCCTGCTTTTGGCAGGTACCAGATATTGCTGGATGAGTACTGGGCTCTACATACCTGGAAGGCAAATTATAGAAGTCTCATTGCCTGAAGCTGCTGCCTCTGCTGACCTGAAGGTAAGGCCATGCCCCATCTCACCATGTAACATGGAACCCAAAGGCTCTTCCTAGCACAGTCAGTATCTTATTCGATTCTCACAAAGCCCTATTGGTAATACAGAGCAGGTGATTTTACCTTTGTTTAAAGGATGAGGTAACTGAGGTGCAGAAAAGCTGATTGATTGAAATGCATTGAGCTAATACAACTAAGTGCCCAGGACTCAAACCTAACTAATTTTGGGTTCTTAAGTTTTGTGCTTTTGACTTATGTCCTAGAGTAGGGAATAAGAGAGGTATCAAATGGAAGGTAACCTACCACAGAGTAGGCATTCAATAAATCTGAGTTCACTGTTCATCCCCATATCCATTCCCATGGTAGCACAAGGTCTTTCTGATCTCAGCTTCCTCCGCAAGACACCCAAGACCATTCCTCAATTGCCCAGTTCACCTTCCCTCTTTCACTTTCACATAGAGATATACCCCACTTGCACCATTAGTTTTCTGTCATGCTCTATCCCCCTTGAAGGTCACTGTGATGGATAACCTCTATTCTGTGCCTGTGCCTATCCTGGAACTTGGTTAGCATAAATCCAGGGAAAATAATCCTAGGACCCTACCAAGTACCTGTCCAGAAAGAGAGCTTGGAGAAAGGGGAGAAATTGAATCAACCCTCCATTAGCTTAGCCAGATCACATCTCCCACTGGGCCCTCCCTCTGATCAGCAAACTGTAGGGTTCCCTCTGCTCCATTCTGAATGCCAGAATCACCACCACGAGCTAGGCAACCGAGTGTTCTGTTTGTTAGCAACACCAAGGGACTGGGCGTGGGAGTCAGCCCTCCTCAGAATTGGCCTTATAGGTTGTACCTGGCACTCCTCATATTAATGTCTAATATGACCCATTGTGGAGCTATCCGAATACCTTGGGAAAATATTTATACATAATTCAGTCCATATCCCTCAAGGAATGCTACAGTTTCATGGGGTTATCACACATGGTTCATCTATGTGGGAAGGTTGGGCTCGCTTGGAGTCATGGCTGAATGACCCATCCTGAGTCCCTTGCTGGGCTCTCTTCTTCCACCCACTCGTGCCCCATGATGACTCCATGGGGGATATCTCTCTGTTCCAGATACAGATTGGCTGCCACACAGATGACCTGACCAGGGCCAGCAAGCTTTTCCGAGGCCCACTCGTGATTAACCGGTGCTGCTTGGACAAACCCACAAAATCGATCACATGCCTCTGGAGTGGACTCCTCTATATAATTGTACCTCAGAACAGCAAACTGGGTTCTGTGTCCATCACCGTGAAGGGGGCTGTGCATGCTCCATACTACAAGCTGGGTGAGTGGAAGCCCTGGGTGCCCCTGAGGGAAGGGGAAGAACTGGGATGAGGACTCCAGAGAGCATGGGAATCCAGGAGGTGACTAGAGCCTGTTTGGTGCAGAAGGAGAGAGACGCAGACTACCGGAGGAAGGAGGGTCAGCTTCCTTAGATTCAGCTTTGGGGTTGTACAGATAAAGACAAAACCACATCCTTGGGGACTTCATAGAAGAAAGATAGAGAAAAGGGATATGGCCTCAGCAAACTAACGTAGGAACAGAAAAACAAACACCATGTGTTCTCACTTATAAGTGGGAGCTGAACAATGAAAACACATGGACACAAGGAGGGGAATAACACACACTGGGGCCTGTCAGTGGTGTGGGTGGGGAGGGCAGGCAGTCAGAGAGAGAGCATTAGAATAAATAGCTCATGCACACAGGGCTTCATACCTAGGCGATGGGTTGATAGGTGCAGCAAATCACCATCACACACGTTTACCTGTGTAACAAACCTGCATGTCCTGCACCTGTATCCCGGAACTTTAAAATTTTTTTAAAAAGAGGAGGGATATGGCAGTTCATGATTTTGGTATTCCCTTTCTGGAGTCCAAGTTGTATGTTGTGATTTAAGGGATTTAAGGGATTTGGGAAAGTATTTCAAGCTCCATGGTCTCTCTTCCTAGGGGAGACAACCCTGGAGGAGTGGAAGAGGCGTATCCAGGAGAATCCAGGGCCCTGGGGAGAGCTGGCCACAGACAACATCATTCTGACTGTGCCAACTGCAAATCTTCGTACTCTGGAGAACCCTGAACCACTGCTCCGCCTCTGGGACGAGGTGATGCAGGCTGTGGCGCGACTGGGAGCAGAGCCCTTCCCTTTGCGTCTGCCACAGAGGATTGTTGCTGACGTGCAGATCTCAGTGGGTGGGTACTCCAAGAAAACCCTCTATGCATTATGCCTCTGAGTGCCTTCCGGTCCTTCATCAGCCAGGCAGTGGGCAACTAGTAGGGAAAACATTTTTCTAGCAAGACATATAGATGTATCCTTGCTATTTAAATGGGAAGGAAATGTATATAAAATATATTATAAACTGTTTTAAATATATATATATATATATATATATATATATATATATATATATAAAACTGATCATATATATATGATATATATCATATATATATCAGTTTAGGTCAGCATGTCAAGGACATCAAGAAATGCCACCTGAGCTTTCACAGGCATCCATCGGGGACTTCAAGCTGGTAAAAATGGCAGAGGGCCTTGACCTAGGTCAGAGTTGTTGGGTTAAAACAGGGAATTTTAAAACTTTAAGAAGATGCTGAATGAAGTGATCTTTCCCTGTGGGCCAAGGAACATGAAAAATGAGGGAAATATACAGACAATAAAGAACTGTGGGAATTTCTCATTTTCTTCTCTTACACGGATGTTCACTATAAACTTGTGTCAATGTGGCAAGTCCATATCTGGACAATGAGAGAGGAGAAATTTGAGAAAACGTTATAGTGACACAGATTTACATGGATAAGGCATCCTCATCAAATTAGAAAACTGAACGGTAACATGAATGGCTCCGTATATATAAGCTGTGTCTCCTTCCATAGCCACACTATTTCGGGTCAGAGTGAGGATGAAGGAATTCTTACAGAATGAGAAGAGGAGAAGAAACAGCTAGCAGGCTTGTGGTTTGGGCTGCTTTTCAGAGCTTTTCTGAGTATGATGGTGTGCGGGAATTTGGCTTGGGTTACTGAGTATTTTGGAATAGACACAATACAGAAAATTTTATGAGTTGGACGGGGAGGCCCCTAACTCTCTCTTCCCTCCTTCTGCATTTTCCAGGCTGGATGCATGCAGGGTACCCCATCATGTGCCATCTGGAGTCAGTGCAGGAGCTCATCAGTGAAAAGCTCATCAGAACCAAGGGGCTGTGGGGCCCTGTCCACGAGCTGGGCCGCAACCAGCAGCGGCAGGAGTGGGAGTTCCCACCACACACCACCGAGGCCACCTGCAACCTGTGGTGTGTGTATGTGCATGAGACGGTGTTGGGCATTCCTCGAAGCCGTGCCAATATTGCTCTGTGGCCCCCAGTTCGGGAGAAAAGAGTCAGAATCTACCTGAGCAAGGGTCCCAATGTGAAAAATTGGAATGCGTGGACTGCACTAGAAACATATTTACAGGTACTGGGCAAGAATGGCAGGTGAGGGGGGGACCCCCTACTGTGGGGAACATCAGGGCAATGGATGGATAATGTTCTAGTGGCCCAGAAGACCTCCCATGGCCCCTGTCTGCCACACTAGGATACAGGAGGCTCCGACAATGTCCAGCTGTGACAGAATGCTCAAGTGGATTTAATCGCTTGAGCCTCACCTTCCACCCCATGGAGATAAATGATAGTAAATGGAAAGCACTGAGAAAAGTTAAAATGGTAGAGGCAAATAAGGTACTATACATATACTCACTCACTCTGGCTTTAAAGCCAGGCATACCTGAGACTGAAGCCAAACTCTCCTACTTAATAGCTATCTAAAACCAAACAGTCCCTGCCATATACATAATCCATAGTATTTGACTTTTTTTTTCCTTAGATGAATGTGCTGTATTCTCATTATGCCTGGCAGTGCCTCAGAGTCCCCATTATATGGGAAATCCAAGAGTCCTGAGTGACCAGGACAAGGAGGTGGCCTTGCCTTTGACCAGTTGTTTAATGCCTGGTTCCCTCCCTACAATGCCTGGATCAGTTCCTCAGTTCCTGACATGGAACTGGAGAGTTTCATCAACTCGAACTTCAGAACTCAGTCTCGGGCCAGGCAGGCTCTATTCTGGTTCTTCCACCTGCTGGAGGCTTTTGCATTCATTCCCACTGCTGTGAGAATTATGGGAAACAGTCATGGAGGCTCCACGTTAACCCTGTTATGGCTGCTTTGCCCCAGGAACACAAGTTTCTCATTGGTGAAATAAACGTGAAGTTGGTCTGGGGAACTGCTTAAGTGCTTCATAATTCAAGCTGTGTAACTCAACAGCCTCAGGATGGCTGCCTTTTTCAAAAATTACAACTTATTTTTAATTCTAGTTACCCAGACAACCTGCAGCCTTCTACTTTGACCCAACTCACTTTTTTCCCCAACGGCCATTTTAGTAGCCTTGCAGATTGACACAGATCTCTGATTAATGAGGATTTCTTTGTGCCAGGATGAGGTGGAAGTTTCCCTATTGTTGCGGTTTTGGTTTTCAACTCTGAGAGATAAGAGGATTTTTCCAATTCTGCCTATTTTCATTCCTTGCATAATATCCTGTCTCTGTTTGCATGATCGAGTGGAATATATGGATAATGATATTGGTAGAAAACATATTAAGTATTGCAGTTATTACCATGGCTGTCACTGACTGAGTGTCCACTTGGTGTTGAGCACCATGCTGGCCCCAAGGCTCTTCCTAAGATTAGAATGTGGGAGAGCAGGGCATGAGGCCAGTAGGTAAAATGGAGAGCAAGTCGGTGGTAGATGTGAAGGTGATGGTAAGGCGTTACATACACTAAGTTCACTTGTTATAGTGGTTGTCGTTGGACCCTCTTTTATTTCCAAATCTCATCTGTATTTTTCATTCTCTTTCCAGCTACAGGAAGCCTTTGGTTGGGAGCCATTCATCCGTCTCTTCACTGAGTATAGGAACCAGACCAACTTGCCCACAGACAACGTTGACAAAATGAATCTGTGGGTCAAGATGTTCTCCCACCAAGTGCAGAAGAATCTGGCTCCCTTCTTTGAGGCCTGGGCCTGGCCTATCCAGAAGGAAGTGGCTACCAGCCTGGCCTATCTGCCTGAATGGAAGGAAAATATTATGAAATTGTACCTCCTCACACAGATGTAAGGAGTGCCCATCGAGGTGGCAGGTAGAGAGGTTTGGGGAGGTAGGCAGAGGTGGGGGTTCACTCCTCTACCTCTGCCTCCCAGGGTCTGGCCTTGTCCTGTTAGTTCATTGCCCTATACCTTATTACCGACTCCTGTCTCAAGGAAGTGGGTTCAGAATGTAGCCAAAAGTGGAATTAGAATTTCTCAGGTGCAAGGGCTTCTGTTTCTGCATCTTGTTCCTCTGCTCTCAGCTGTCAGATTCCCTCCTGACCCTGCACTGGCCCAGTTCTGAGAGCCTTGGCACCTATTTCTATATCAGTCCTGGATTCCCTATCATAGGCCGTAGCCTAGAGCAGGTAGTTCTCAACTTGGCATTCTGCGGTCTCTCTTTGGGCTTTTGTTTTTTATCAGTTGTTCCAAAAACTTGACCATAGAACTCAACTGGAACACAAATTTACCATGAGACCCAGACAGCTCCCCAGTGGACTCATATACCTTGTGACTTGAGCAGTTTTCAAAGTGCTACATAAGCATTCTGGCATGGTGGGAAGAGCATAGAACTAGGTAGGGTTAGCTCTTGGGAAAGTCATTTCAACTTGGTACCCTCATTTCCTGTGTGTAAGATGGGGATAAAAATTCCTGGTTCACAGGGTTGTTGTGGAGGTTCAGACAGATAATTCTGAAGAGGCTTGTGAGGTCTGCAGAACATGTCATCTAAGGGGTTTTTCTATTTTACGCTGGTCCACAGGAGATAATGAACTTACTACTTTCCATCCTCTCTCCAGAATTTAAAGGTTGGAATAACTCTTTCTACAGGTAGCTTCCCTGTGTCCAAATCCTGGTTCATTCACCTGCTAGTTGTATAACCTGGCAATTTCCTTAACTTCTCTGTGACTTAATTTTCTCATCTATAAAATAGGATCTATTTCATAGGATTATTGTGAGGATCACATTTTATAATACCTCTAAAAAGTAATAGAAACAGTCCCTGGCAGGTAGTAGCTGTTGAGAAAATGTCAACTGCCATTTTTCTTATCTAATTGATTCAATATCCTTTATGAGCTAGACTTTACTTATAGATGTTTACAGAGGCAGTTATAGTTAATTCTAGCCCATCTTGCTTTTTATACAGTAACCTCTGAAAGGATTATGCTACATTGCCTTATGAATCTAAAAGAACTCTAAATTCACGAGTTTTTTTTTAAATAGCTAAAAATTTAGTTTTTCTTAAATTTAGATTGGTAGTTATTTTTAAAAACCCCATTGTGAATTTGGAGCTCTTCCTTGGATTTCCTTACCCAATTCTGTCTTAAAGATCCAATTCCTGGATTAAATCAAGAGTAGATGTTTTGAAGAAACCAGATCGATTCTATGATGACATTTGTCTTTAACAAACAGTGGTTATCCGGTTCGGTTTCATAACAGTGTTTATATTTCTGTAACAGATTCAAGGCACAATCCCTGTCAAGAGTTACTCACCAGTTTGGCAAAGTCCACACACATAGAGGGCTTTACTCTGAAATAATATAATTGAATAGAGTTAACCCAAACTTATTTCCTTTTAATTTTATTCAGAATCCGCCATGTTTTTATAGTTTTAACTAAAACTGGGTCCCTTGGGTTGATGTTGTATACATCTAGCCACTTTTTCTTTAGTTCACTTTTTATTTTAGTTATTTTAATATATCATTTTATTTGCTTAATTGGTAATTGGGTGTATATGTAGACTGTAAGATTTGACCTATAGAGATTTTTCTTTGGATTTCTTTTTTTTTTTTTTTTTTGTGATAGAGTTTCACTCTTGTTGCCCAGGCTACAATACAATGGCAGTCTTGGTTCACTGCAATCTCCGCCTCCCAGGTTCAAGTGATTCTCCTGTCTCAGCCTCCTGAGTAGCTGGGCTTACAAGCACCCTCCACCACCCCCAGCTATTTTTTACATTTTTAGTAGAGACGGGGTTTTACCATGTTGGCCAGCCTGGTCTTGAACTCCTGACCTCAGGCGATCCACCCACCTCAGCCTCCCAATAGATTTCTTTATCATATTATTTGTCAGACCTAGGAGTATTTCTCCTGATTACATGAATATCCATTGTCTAGGTGCTTTAAGTATTACACAGTGGATATTTGTTCAACATTTAAAATAATTGTTATCAATTATTGGGTGTATACCAGTTATTATACTGGTTCCTTTCTATAGATTGTTTTATTTAATCTTCACAATAATCTCATGACATGGAAACTATTATCACTCCCATTTTATTTTATGAAAGAACTAAATATAATGAAGATAAGATAAATTATCTAAGGCTATATTGCTAATAAGTGGTTGATCTGGGATTTGAATTCAGGCATTCTGGTTACAGAATGGACATTCATAACTACAGTGCTTTCAATGATGCAATCAAAGGTTAAATAAAGAAGCCAACCAGCAAACCAAAGGATCATTATGTCCCTACTTGCCAGAGCTTTGGCTACATGTACTTACCCATCATCTCCTTTTGTCAGAACAAAAGGTCATTTTGTTTAGCCCAAATGACAATTCAAAGAATTTAAGGTAGGCTCCTGAAGCACTTCCCAGTAGATAGTGCTGGATTGAGCCCTTTAGCATCAGCCAGGTCTTTTAGGTTCCGAGTTGTACAAAATTCAGTTATTCTTTCTAGGGTACCACAAAAGTGTTCGCTAGATTTTGAATGATGGGCTATTTCAGCGAAGTGCCTAACTCCCAAACATCCCAAACACTGCATATTCTCAGAGAGGAAATTAGATTCTCCATCTTTGAGAAGAATATTTGTATCCATTTTTCCTTTTTTGAATATATTTGTAGCAGCACATCCCGGGGATATATTTAAAATAAAAAGTTATCCATGTTACTTCCCTGTCTAAAAGCCTCCAGTGGGATTTCTAATTAAAGATGATGGACTAAACATAAGTTTACCTTCCCTCCCTTGCCAGGCCCCACTGAAGTTGAAGTCAAGAAATGTAAAAAAGGAATGGACACATCTCAGAAAAGAAAACTGATGGGATTTGGTTATAAGTGGAGAAGATCTCAGCACATTTCTGGAAGAGGGAAAGTGAATGAAGCATGATAATGGAAGTGAAAACCTTTCAGATAGACTATAAGCTGATCTGAACATAACCCCACAGAGACTTGAGCACCTGAAAAGTTTGTCTACTGAAGAATTAGCCCAGTTGTAAAATTGAGCCCTATCCTACCCTCCCCCAACTCTTAGGCACAGAACACGGGCAGTCTCCACTATTGATACCAGTTAAAAACTTCTTGTTGTTGTTGCTGTTGTTGTTTGTACAAAGGAATTGAACAAACTGCCTGTAGAGAGGTAAGAGTTGGTGCTCCAGAATGAAATTTCTCTTCTAGTGGAAAGAAGTGCCCCTTCCCCCAGCCAGTCAGTGAATTCTCTACTGACAATTGAAAGCTCCTACTGAAGTGCTGTTGCCTTCAGGTATAGAATGGGTTTCCTGAAGAAACAGACCTAACCATACAACAGCAGAGGAAACTCACACCAGCTGCTAGAGAAGTCATCAATTACGTTGATTCTTAAATGGGAACGGTGAGCTGGAAATTCCCAGACACGGGTGGTGGGGAGGGAAAAGAATAAGAGAAATCACCAGGTAGAATTAGGGGCCTTGAAAATATAACAAACTTTGAAGGAAACAAATACAATGTGGAAAAAATAACTTAATTTTAATTCTATCTTCAGAGAGATTTGAAGTATATTTATAAGATGAAAACAGGATACTACAAAAAAAAAAAAAAAAAAAAAAAAAAAAAAAACTCAGGAGTTTGAGACCAGCCTAGGAAAGATGGCAACACCCTGTCTGTACAGAATACTTGTAAAAATTGGTCAAGCACGGTGGCATGTGCCTGTGGTCCTAACTACTTGGGAGGCTGAGGTGGGAAGATCACTTGAGCCCAGGAGTTCAGGGCTGTAGTGAGCCATGATGGTGCCACTGCACTCCAGCCTGGGGGGCAGATTGAGACCCCGTCTCTTAAAAAGAAAGAAAAGAAAAGAAAGAGAAAACTGAGAATAAGAAGAGCTATTCGAAAATAAAATAAGAATGCTAAAAGGATTCGGTGTACAACCTGGAAAATAAAGTTGAGAGAATCTCCCCAGATAAAGAACAAAAAGATAGAAAATATAAAGAAAGAAAAGAGACATAGACAATCAATATATAATATTAGGAGTTCCTGGAAAAGAGGACGTAGACAATGTAGGTGAAGAAATAAAAAGAATTGAAGAACAGAGCAAGCTAAGTCTCCAGATTGAGAGGGCCCAATACAATATACATGCAGACAGAATTTTGTAAAATTTTCGAATATTAAGCATAGAAGGAGGATATTAAAGTGGCCAGGGAGAATGCAAATGAGGTCATCACAATTAGCTCAACAACAACAAAAAAAATGGGTGAGAAATAGACTGCTAACAGATTTGTCATCAGCAAAAGTGAATGCCAGAAGTCAATGGATCAACATCTTCACATAGCTTATAGAAAATTTTGTACCTAGAATTTTATAGTAAGGCAAACTGTCAAGAATATCTAAGTGAAGACATTTTCTGACAGACAAATTTTCAGAAAGTCTACCTCCTTTGCACCCTTACTGGGGAAGTATCTTGAGGAAGTTCTTCAGCAAAATGAGGATGAAAACCAGGAAGGAAGAAATGGTATCCATAAAACAGTGGACGTTACTTAGGATGTCTCATTCTAGAATGATAATTATCCAAAAGGATTTCTTACTCTAGTAGAGTAAGACATCCTAAGTAAGTTGCCCAAGACAATGTGCTCTCATGTGAAATTAGTCTATCCATCAGACTAGCTCAACAACAACAAAAAATTTGGGCTTTCTGGGAATAATGTCCATTCAGTACCATAGATGGTATCACTAAAGAGCTGGAATGCTTGAGAAGAAGATTTAGTCAAGAAAAAAAGACAAATCAACAATATGTCAAAAAATTTAGCTCCAATTGTAGAGCAAAAGAAAATGAGACATGATTTTGAGTTATTCATGAAAAAGAAGAAGAGGCTTGATAGGTACATTTCCTTTTCTATGGTACAGGCATGATAACATTGGGTGTGTAGGGAAGAAAATATCCTGGCTTGTACTAGGCTCTCAGTTAGAAGCATTTAAATTGCCAAAATAATGTCAATACCATTTGTTAGTATTTAGTGTTCAGATCAGCCTATTGACAATGTATGAAAGACTTCATTTTTTATATTCAGAACTGAAGTTGAAAGTAATGCTGACAAAGAAAAAGCAAAAGCAGAGATTGAGAATTGGAGGAAGAGTGGGGGAATGAAAGGTAGAAATACTTACATATTCAAAGTGGGGATGAAAAGATATTCAGTTAATGGAACAAGAACTAGAGGATTAGTATATCGTTCAAAGCTATAAATCAATAGATGTATTAAAAAGTGACGTAACTAGCAAACATTTGGAGACAGATGGACAAAGGAAAGTGACGATAGTGTAAGTTAAATACTTATCTTTTGTAATGGGGAATTATTAAAGATCGTGTAAAGTCAGTAAGTCAAATTATTGTTCAAACATATTATTTAAAGTTAGAAAGGTAGTTACCAGATAATCTAAAATAAATATCGTTAAATACATTTCCTCTAGTAAATGGGACTAGATTTCAAAACGGTGGGATGGGAAACTGTGTTTTTCATTTTAAGTCCTTCTGTACTATTTAATTTTTTACCTTGTGCATGTATTAATTCAAAAAAATTTTAATAAACTCAAATAAAAATCTTCCAGTGACTTCACATTGATTAAGATGTAATCCAACTAAAGCCTTTAACATGGTTTTCAAGGTCCTCAAATAGCTGGGTCCACCTGATGTGTCCAGGCTCATGATATCTCCCCACTAGTCTCTATCTCCAACCACATTAAGTATCTTCCAGTTATTAAATCACACTTCACATTCTTTTGTTTGTACAGGTGTTCCACAAAAAACAAAGCCTACTGCTGATCTTACCATGTCTGGTGAGTAAGCTTACCATCTAGTGGGTTTTTTAATATTTGTTGAATGAAGGAATGTCCAGTAGAGCACTGAATGAAGTTTGCCAACTTCATTCTTTTCCAGGAAGGCCTTTGATATTTGCCCCTGTTCTGGGAAACATTTCAAGAAGGACCATCCAGGGCCCAAAGCTTTTCTGCATTCCTCATCATTTGACAGCTTTAATGAGTTTTAGTGTTACATGAGGCCAGCTGGCGTCAGAGGATTTCTGTCCCCCTGTCAGTCTCCCTGATGTGCTCTTTGCCACCTTCCTTGAACATCATAACCTGTTTTCAGCTATTTTTAACCCTGTACCTGGGAGAACAGTCAACTGTCTAATGGAAATCTGTAGTCCACTAAGTTCCTTTTTTAAGTTTTACTTTACTTTTAATTGACTCATAATAATTGCACATATTTATAGGGTAGTGTAATGTTTTAATACATGTATACATTGTGTGATGATCAAATTGGTATTTCCCTTATTTTTCACCTTAAACATTTATCATTTCTTTGTGATAAGAACATTAAAAATCCTCCCTTTTAGCTGTTTTGGAATATGGAATTTAACATTGTTACCATAGTCACCCTACTGTGCAATGGAACACCAGAACTTACTCCTGCTGTCTAACTGAACCTTTGTACCTGTTGACCAGTCTGTCCCCATCTCCCCTGACCCACTACTGTCCCAAGCCTCTGGCAACCACTATTCTCTCTACTTGTATGAAATCAACTTTTTAAATTATACAGTCCACTTTTGTGTGAGATTGTATGGTATTTGTCTTCCCGTGCCTGGCTTATTTTACTTAATGTCCTCTGGGCCCAATGACAAAATTTATTTTTATGGTTGAATAGTATTCCATTGTGCATAAATGTCACATTTTCTTTATATGTTCTTCCACTGATGGAACTTAGGTTGATTCCATGCAGGTATTGTAAATAATAGTACGATAAACATGGAAATGCAGATATCTCCTCCACATAACTGATGTTATTTCCTTTGGATATGATCATATGATACTTCTATTTTTAATTTTTTTAGGAACCTTCATTCTGTTTTCCATAATTGCTGGACTAATTTACAACAACATATCAAACTTCCCCTTTCTTCACATCTACACCAGCATTTGTTATTTTTTGTCTTTTTGTTAATAGCCATTCTAACTGGAATGAGGCAGTATGTCATTATGGTTTAATTTGCATTTCCCTGATGATTAGTGATGCTAAACATTACTATGTCGTCTTTAGAGAAAGGTCTATTCAGGCGTTTTGCCCATTTTAAAATGGCATTATTTATTTTTCTGCTATTGAGTTGTTTGAGTTTTCTGTATAGTCTGGGCATTAATCCCTTGTCAGATGCATAGTTTGCATATGTTTTCTCCCATTCCTTAAGTTATCTTTAATCTGTTTGCTTCCTTTGCTGTACAGGAGCATTTTAGTTTAATATAGTAACATTTCTCTATATTTGCTTTTGTTGTCTGCTTTTGAGGTCTTATTCAAAAAATTCTTGCCCAGACCAGTGTCATCAAGTGTTTTTCCCATGTTTTCTTCTAGTATGCTTATGGTTTCAGGTCTTATATTAAAGTCTTTAATCAATTTTGAACTGATTTTTATATATGGTGAGAGATGGGGTCTAATTTTATTCTTCTACATGTGGATATTCAGTTTTTCCAGTGCCCTTTATTGAAGATTCTGTCCTTTTCCTAATGCGTGTTGTTGACACTTTTCTTAAAAATCAGTTGGCTATAAGTACATGGATTTATTTCTGTTCTGTATTGTTTCAGTTATTGGTGTGTCAATTTTTATACTAGTACCATGTTGATTTGGTTACTATAGCTTTGTAGTATATTTTAAAGTCAGGTAGTGTGGTGTATTAAGCTTTATTTTTGCTCAAGATTGCTTTGAGTATTTGAGGTCTTTTCTGGTTCCTTAGAAGTCTTAGGATTTGTTTTCTATTTCTGTGAACAATTGGGATTGAATTAGTAAATTGCTTTGGATAATATGGACATTTTGACAATATTAAATTTTGCAATTTATTATCTTTCCATTTATTTGTGTCCTTTTCAATTTATTTCATCTGTGTTTTATAGTTTCCACTCTAGAGATCTTTCACCTCCTTGGTTAACTATATTCTTGGGCATTTATGTATAGCTATTGTCAATGGATTGTTTTCTTAATAGCTTTTTAAGATAGCTTGCTATTAGCATATAGAAACACTAGTGATTTTTGCATGTTGTTTTTGTGTCCTGCAACTTTATTGAATTTATTTATTCTAACAGTTATTTGTGGAATCTTTAGCATTTTCTACATATAAGATCATGTCATCTGCAAACAAGGACAATTTGACTTCCCTCTTTCCTATTTGGATGCCTTTCGTTTCTCTTGCCCAATTGCTCTGGCTAGGACTTCCATCCAGTACTATATTGAACAAAAGTGGTAAAAGTGGCATCCTTGTCTTGTTGCAGATCACAGAGGAATAGCTTTCAACTTTTTCTTTTTCAGTATGATGTTTCTATGAGCTTGTCATTTATGGCCTTATTATGTTGAGGTATATTACTTATATATCTAATTTGTTGAGAATTTTTATCATGAAGGCATGTTAAATTTTATTAAATTTTTTCTTTGTCTATTGAAATGATTATGTCATTTATTTATTTATTTTTTCTTATTTTTTTATTCCATTTTAGGTTTTGGGGTACATGTGCAGAGCATGCAATACAGTTGCATAGGTACACACATGGCAGTGTGTTCTGTTTGCTTTCACCCCTTCACCCACATTTGGCATTTCTCCCCAGGCTGTCCCTCCCCATCTCCCCCTCCCACTGGCCCTCCCCTTTTCCCCCCAGTAGACCCCAGTGTTTAGTACTCCCCTCTCTGTGTCCATGTGTTCTCATTTATCATCACCCACCTATGAGTGAGAATATGCGGTGCTTCATTTTCTGTTCTTGTGTCAGTTTGCTGAGAATGATGTTCTCCAGATTCATCCATGTCCCTACAAACGACACGAACTCATCATTTCTGATTGCTGCATAATATTCCATGGTGTATATGTGCCACATTTCCCCAATCCAGTCTATCATCAATGGGCATTTGGGTTGATTCCAGGTCTTTGCTATTGTAAACAGTGCTGCAATAAACATTCGTGTGCATGTGTCCTTATAGTAGAATGATTTATAGTCCTTTGGGTATATACCCAGTAATGGGATTGCTGGGTCAAATGGAATTTCTATTTCTAAGGCCTTGAGGAATCTTCCACAATGGTTGGACTAATTTACACTCCCACCAACAGTGTAAAAGTGTTTCTTTTTCTCCACATCCTCTCCAGCATCTGTTGTCTCCAGATTTTTTAATGATTGCCATTCTAACTGGCGTGAGATGGTATCTCAATGTGGTTTTGATTTGCATCTCTCTGATGACCAGTGACGATGAGCATTTTTTCATATGACTGTTGGCCTCATATATGTCTTCTTTCATAAAGTGTCGGTTCATATCCTTTGCCCACTTTTGAATGGGCTTGTTTGTTTTTTTCTTGTAAATCTGTTTGAGTTCTTTGTAAATTCTGATCATGTCATTTTTGTCCTTCATTCTGTTACTGTGATGTATCACATTTATTGATTTAAATATGTTGAACCATCCTTGCATGCCTGGGATGAATACCACTTGATTGTGGTGAATTGTCTTTTTAATATGCTGTTGAATTTGTTTCACTCTCATTTCATTAAAGATTTTTGCATCTATGTTCATAAAGGAGATTGGCCTGTAGTTTTATTTTTGTGTTGTATCTTTGTCTGTGATTGATAATGTTGGCCTCAGAGAATGAGTTTGGAAGACTTTCCTCCTCTTCAACTTTTTAGAATAGTTTGAAAAAAAATGAAATTAGTTTATTCTTTACATGTTTGTTAGAACTTAGGAGTAAAGTCATCAGGTCCTTGGCTTTTCTTTGATGGGAGACTGTTTAGCACTGATTCCTTCTTGTTACACATTATTGGCCTGTTTAGGTATTTTTTTTATTCACACTAGTTCAATGTTGGTAGGTTGCATGTGTCCAGGAATTTATCTATTTATTTTAGGTTTTCCAATTTATTGGCATATAATTGCACATAAAAGTCTTTTATGATCCTTTGTATTTCTGTGGTATCTCGTTTTTCATCTCCGGATTATATTTATTTGAGTCTTCTCTTTTTTTATTAGTCTAGCTGAAACATTTGTTTATCTTTTCAAATAACCAACTCTTTGTTCTATTGACTTTTTATATTATTTTCAGTCTCTATTTCACTTATCTCTGCTTGATCTTTATCAGTCCTCTCTTCTAGTAGTTTTGGGTTCAGCTTGCCCTTGTTTTTTCCTTGAGGTGCCACATAAAGTTGTTTATATAAGATTCTTAAACTTTTTTGATATAGGCATCTATTGCTATAAACTCCCTCTTAGAACAGCTTTTGCTGTATCCCATAGGTTTTGGTATGTTATGTTTCCATTTTTATTTGTCTCAAGAATTTTTAAATTTTCTTTTTAATTTCGTTATTGATGACCTGGTTGTGAAAAAACATGTTGTTTAGTTTTCATATATTTGTGTATGTTCCATAGTTCCTCTTGGTATTCATTTCTAGTTTTTATTGCACTGTGGTAAGAGAAGATACTTGATAGGATTTTGATTTTTTTTTAATTTCTTGAGATTTGCTTTGTGGACTAATATATATTCTATCCTGGAGAAAGTTCCATGTGCTGTTGAGAAAACTGTATATTCTGTAGTTGTTGAGGGGAATGTTTTGTAAATATCTGCTGGGTCTATTTGGTCTAGAGTGTCATTATATCTGATAATTCTTTGTTGCATTTTTTATCTGGATGATCCATCCATTGCTGAAAGAGGGAACTAAAATCCATTTTTATTTTGATGTAATTTTTCTCTCCCTTTAGATATCATAATATTTACTTTATATATTGGGTGCGCTGGTGTTGGGTGCTCATATACTTATAACTGTCCTAAACGTTTGCTGAATTGATTTCTTTATTATTATATAATGACCTTTTTTCTTTTTACAGTTTTTTACTTAGTCTATTTTGTCTGATATAAGCATTACCACCCCTGCTTTCTTCTGGTTTCCATTTTCACAGAACTTTATTTTCTATTCCTTCACTTCAATCTATGTGTGGCCTTATAGGTGAAGTGAGTATCTGGTAGGCAGCATATTGTTGAATCTTGTTTTTCCTTTTTAATCCATTCAGCCACTGTATGTATTTTAATTGGGAATTTATTTCATTTACATTCAAACTTATTATTGATAGGTAAGGGCTTTTGCCATTTTCTTCAATATTTTCTGGTTGTTTTGTATATCCTTTGTTCCTCCTTCTCTCATGCTTATCTTTGTGGTGTGGTGAGGGTATTTGTTGTGATAAGTTTTGATTCCTTTCTTTTTCTCATTTGTATCCCCCTCTGTTGTAATTTTTTTCTTTGTGGTAAGTATTGGAGTTACATTAAAAACTCTCAACTTAAGACTATTTTAAACTGTTAACAAGTTAACTTTTATTGCATACCAATACTCTAGACTTCCATTCCGCCCCAAATTTACAATTTTGTTGCCTTAATATACATCTTTATATATTGTTTGTTCCTTAACAACTTCTCATGGCTATAATCAGTATTACCATTTTCACTTTTTGGCATCCTACAGAGCTGCATTTACAAAAGAATTTATTATTATTTTTTTCTTTTTTTGAGACAGAGTCTCACTCTGTCGCCAGGTGCCAGCCTGGCAGGTTGGAGTGCAGTGGTGTGATCTCAGCTCACTGCAACCTCTGCCTCCTAGGTTCAAGCAATTCTCCTGCCTCAGCCTCCTGAGTAGCTGGGACTACAGGCACACACCACAACACCCAGCTAATTTTTGTATGTTTTTTAGTAGGGATGGGGTTTCACCATGTTGGCCAGGATGGTCTCGATCTCTTGACCTCATGATCTGCCCGCCTCGGCCTCCCAAAGTGCTGGGATTACAGGCATGAGCCACCGCACCCGGCCTATTATTATTTAAAAATCAGGTCCACTATGTTGCCCAGGTTGGACTCAAACTCCTGGACTCAAATGAGCCTTTCATTTCAGCTTCCAAAATAACTGGGACTGTAAGCACATGCCACAGCAACCAGCTATTTTGACTTTTAAACTTCATATTAGAGATTTGAAAGATTATGTATCACCATTGCAGTAATGAAGTATTATGAAGTTGATAATGCATTTACCTCCAGCAGTGAGATATATACTTCATGTTTTTTATACCAGTTATAAAATTTCCAGTAGTCAAGCATTTCTTGTAAGTTTGGTCCAGTGGTAATGAGTTCCCTCAGCTTTTGCTTATCTGGGAAAGACTATTTCTCCTACATTTCTGAAAAAAGAAAAAATGATTTGCCGAGTATACTATTCTAAGCTAGCAGTATTTTCTTCTAGTATTTTAAATATATCTTCCCATTCTCTATGGGCCTGCAAGGTTGCTGCTGGGAAATATGCTAATAGTCCAATGGCAATTCCTTTACATGTGACTTGATGCTTTTCTCATGCTGCTTCTTGTATTTTTTCTTTGTCTTTGTCTTTTGACAGTTTGGTTATAATATGCCTCAGAGAGGACCTCTTTGGGTTGAATCTGTTTGGTATCCTTTGAACTTCCTGGATCTGGATGTCCATATCTCTTCAAGACTTACAAATTTTTCAACTATTACTTTTTTAAATAAACTTTCTTTGCCTTTCTTCATCTCTTCTTCTTAAGTTGCCAAAATGCAAATTTTTGTTCACTTATGGTGCCACTTAAGTGTCTTAGGTTCACACTCACTACAAGGTTTTTTGTGTCCTACTATTTTTAGTTTTTTGGTAGCTGTTCCTTCTCCATCTTCCTTTTTTTTTCCTTTACCTCTGACTAGACTATTTCAAAAGACCTGTTTTCAAGTTCAAAAATTCTGTTTGATCTGTTTTGCTGTCGAAACTCTCAATTCTATTTTTCATTTTATTAATTGAATTTGTTGGCCCCAAGATTTCTGGTTTTTTTTCTCTTTGTTGAATTTCTCATTCAGATCACAAATTGTTTTTCCCAATTATTGAATGATCTGTTTGTGTTCTTTCATGTCTCACCAAGTTTCCTTAAGCTCACTATTTTGAATTCCTTTTCAGGCAATTCATAAATTTTTATTTATTTGATTGAGGTTACTAGAGAATTATTGCGTTTCTTTGGCAGTGTCCTGTTTCCTTGCTTTTTTATGTTTCTTGTATCCCTGCACTGGTATCTGTGCATCTGATGGAATAATAACCTTTTCTAACTTTGTAGAGTAGCTTTCATGAAGAAAGACTTACACCTGCAGATGTGTCCTAGCATGTTGGTTGGGTAGGGTACATTTGTTTTTGTTCTGGGTGGATGCAGTAGTGTAGTCTCTATGCAGCTTCTTTAGCTGTAGTTAATGTAAGTGATGCCTGCGAGTTCTCCAGTGGCCTTGGCTGCAGAAGTTTGTGTGGCTGGTATGCCTACTCAGCTGCTTGTCCCCTAAAGGCTGGGCACTGGGCTGGTCTGTTCTCTGAGGATCCATGGCTGGTAGGTTCTTCTTGGGTGCTGATCTCTTAGGGGCTGCATAGTGAGCTGGTCTGTGCTCTAGAGAAGTACAGGGCTGGTTGTCCAGTAGCTCTGCTAGGTTGCTGCTCCCTTGGAGCCAAGGCACCAGAATGGTTCACACTCACTACAAGGTATTTTGTGTCCTACTATTTTTAGTTTTTTGGTAGCTTTTCCTTCTCCACCTTCATTAACATTTCTGTCTGAAGGCAAATATTTGTATAAAAGCCTTTTCTTACGTGAGTTAGCATCTGTCCTATTTTCCATGTATCATAATAGAGATTTATCCTCACAAATAGGAGTAGTTTCCAGATTGCTCAGGTTATCACAGAAATAACCAAAATTATTTTGTCTTCTACCACACCACGGAGTCTGAATTCCTGTAAAGGGAAATTGAAATATGCCATGCGTTTACTTTTCTCCATTGTCTAAGTCCCATAGTCAACTGGAGCTCTCTGATGAGTCTTGGCCTTACAGCCAATCTTCAAAGCAGTATTTATCAGAAATGCTTCCTGTCTCTTCTTCATGGGATCAAAAGCTAATATATTTAGTGCTTAAAGCAATGTCCTCACCCAAGGTCAAAACCTCACCTAATATATGTACCTAACAGGCCAATAGGTAACTAGGGATGGCAAAAGTAACATACTCTATTCCTTCTTTCAAGACTTTTTCCCTTCTCTGTTCTCTACTCCTTAAAATGCCTTTGTATTCCTGCTTGGCTTCTATTTTTAAAAGGATTTCTTTTTTGACCTACATTATTGCAATCAATCTTCAAGATGAAGGGGGCAGAAGGTATTCTTCAGCTTCTCAGAGATCTTTCTTCTAACTACACAAAAAACAACTCACCTCTCAATCAACAGAACTAAGAAATGCTTCCTATGCATTTGGATTCTTGTGCCTTTGAGTGCTATAAAGAAGCATTTATTTGATAAGAAAGGTTGAGTTATTATTGATGTTCTAGTCTGAATTTGGGTGGGTTTCATAGGTTCTCATTATATTAAAAATAAATAGAATAAAGGAATGAGTAAGTGAAAGATAAATAGAGATTGGGAAGCAACTGCAGCTTAAAAAAATGTATTGACCAGTGATAACAGTCAGGAACCAAGGTTTATCTTAATACAAATATGTGCACCTGAGGGTCATTAAAAAGTTACCTCTTAGGAACTCAAATATATGTAATTGGTTAAGAAATATGTACATGTAGGTACAGAAAATTATTTCCATGAATTGCTTAGTGACATAAAACTCATTTTTCACATAATACAAAAATTATTTAGTACAAAGTCTGAGACAGCACTCAAAGGGGGTTAGAGGAGACAAAATGATCAAACACACAATATAAAAATAATCTATAAGAGAGTATAGAAGAGATCCCATGGGTTTAGAGAGAAGACTCCACTTCTTCTTGAAAACAAGAAGTGGCTTTTTTTTTTTTTCAGTGTAGACCATCTTTATTGGCAGGTATTAGGAGTGCAAAATAGCAACAAATCCAGGGGAATGTGCAAGGCGGTTACAGGGCTCCCCTCCCCGATGTGAGAGCCCTGTAACCAAGCCAGTGGGGCAGGAATGTTGATTTGACTGTGGCAAATTAGGCTCAGCACCCTCCAAAGAACAAGCTCCCAAGCAGGAGGGCTCCTTGCAATGCAAGGGGGAAAAGAGCGACACCCTGGAAGGGCCTGGGCTGCAACCCGACCTGAGCTCCTTGGCTCCTGTGCACTGCTCACCTCAACCCTTCAAGAGGAAGACTTCACAGCTTAGGGTATCTATCTCAGAGAACCAGGCTAAACCCAGCCCTTCCAAAACCCAGGTAGCTGCCTCATGCCTCAGTTTCCCACCCCCTAGTGATTACCCAAGTTGGACCATCAGGCCCTGTGGTGGCCCAGCCTAACACAAAGTGACAAGTCCCTGTAACATACCATATATCAGTCAGTGTGTGGGCTGCAGGACCTCCAAAGCTGCCAGGATCACCACAGGCCGGCCCTAGTCAAAAAGGCCCTTGTAGGCCATGGGAATCAATCTGAGGTGCTGGGGATTAAGGCTACCATCCCAAACTTGCTTTGTTTCCTGAAGGCAATTGAACTCCAAGACAAATGGCTCCTGCACCCCACTGTCATGCTGGGTCCAAAAGGGTGATGCAATAACCAAAGGGTCCTCCAGCTGAGAACTCCAGCCTGGCCTTAAGCCCACAGTGGCCTTGTGCTCGGGGCAGTCTGGTTTGTTCAATAGAAGGCCCAACCCTGCAGGGCTGGGCCACCTGGCACAGGCTGCCTATCCCTGATCATGTCCTCCACACACTCTTGGAGGCCCCACCCCACGCTGTGAGACCTAGTCCCTTTCCTTCTGGCCAGGGTCTGAGTCAGTTACAAGGCAGCCAGGTGGGACAGGCACGAGTGAGGAGAGGCTGCACAGGGGTCACGTAGTAATTGACAGTGGCCGGCACAACGCCGTCGGTGCCTGGTGGGCGCCAGGCCAGGGCGGCAGTGGCAGCAGGGCCCTGCTCAGCCAGTGCCTGCAGCGCCAGTGCAGCAATCTGGTGGCGCAGCGTCTGGTGGTGCTCATGGTTCATGAGGCACATGGTGAGGGCCCTGTAGGTGAGGGCCCAAGTATATACAGCAGGCTTACCTACTGTCTGTGAGATTTCTATGCTTCAAGCAGGAGCCAAAAACGTGAAAATAGGTCATAAACTCTTCCTTGACCCTTCACCATGGTAAATAGAGATGGGAGAGTCAAGTGGAGCTTTAATAAAACAGGGATTTTTCCTTTTTTTGTTGCTGCTTGTGTAGCCTTGGAGTAGAACTATTACAAAGGAGAAAATAATAAGCCTTAATTATGGTTTTTGACATTTAATCACAAGACAACTGGCACTATGAGCTTGTTGCTCTTAACACCTAGAGCAGACTTAAATCTCAGATCCTCACAGGAAACTGAGATAAACTATTTCAGCTGTCAAAATCATTAAAAGACAAACAACTGACTTGTGTCAGTAATGTTAGAGTGACCTTTTGCAGAAAGCCTAGTGGATCTCCTAGCACTGGAAAACGTACGTTTGGTTGTAGGGCATTATTAATATTAATGCATTCATAGGACATAATATTAATGCCCTACAGCAAAAGACCAGTGGAAACACACCTATAATTAAACAAGTTGAATCTATTATTCACAGCAGCTAGGGAAAATGCACACCATAGGGAAATGGGTATATCAGTAAAAAGGTGTCAGAACCTATTATAGGCTGTGGGCTTTGGTTGGATCATTTTGTGAAGTGTCTGAAGAGGCAAGACTTTGTTCTAGATTATATACTGTCAAGAACCAGAAGCAATTCTATGACTGAGATCTCAATACATTTCATATATAAGGAGAGCTGACTAAAATGAGCATAAAGCTGTGATTCGTTTCTAAAAAGTTGCAATTATTCATTTTAGATAAGAGAAGAATGATCAGTATTTTGTGGGTTACCTGGTAATCTTGTATGTGCCTCAGTTTATGATGGTCTCAGAGTGACCTGGTCTGATGTTGATGTTCTCTGAAATTGTTTTTGTGTAATGGGAGAACAATATGGCCTAGCTGTTAGTGCCAGACAAGTTTCTGGATATCAGGGGCTGCTGCTGTTTTGTTTAATCAGTTGAAAAGGAAAAAAGGGAGAACCGTTGCTCCTCTTAGAGAGATTCAAATCTGCATCTCTTTTGATTGATCACAAGGACAGACTGAAAAAAATATTAATAGCAAAAAGTATGCATGATATACCTTGGGAAAGGATGGTTCCCTACAGATCCGCTAGACTTGGTGGAAGTCTTGGGGCAAACCAAAATGAAATGAAGACTACAAGTCTCAATATATAATGAAAAGTTTTGAGAAGGAATAATCTTGATGTCACAGCAACTTTGGAATAAATCAATTTGGAAATAATTGTTTACATTTTCAAATAAGTAAATAAATAGACAATAATAGATGCTGGTCCCATAGGAGTAGGGATTTTGACTCACTCTCTGTAGGAGTTTTCTTATATGGTATTGACCTACTATGACCCTCAGTTCCCATAGACTATCCCCCTCGCATATTGATATTTACAACCCTTGTGGGATTGTGAATGAAGACATTTATATTATACTGATGTAGGTGCACTATAAGAAAATTGGATCTATTGAGCACCTGTCCAATGGTCTGATATTTCAAAGGCAGAAAGAGAAAAAGGACATCCACTCTTATTCTTGGGCTAACTCGGTTCCACTGACTCCCAGACAACTAAAATCTTCAGTACAAAACCAAACTTTATGTCTGGTCCAGCATGGGAGGAACAGATTATAAGCCTAAGAATATCTCTTCTCACTTCCACCCCAGCCTTGTCCCTTACTAGAGGAAGAAAGTTTCAGCACCTTTGGAGTGGCAGTCACATGTTCCAAGACATCCTCTGTGATTGGAATATAACTGGCTCTTACCACGTATGTTCCACACACTTATAATCCAAACAGAAAAAAAAATGTAGCCCCAGGTAAATTTTACAAATACACCAAAGCAGATACGAAAGCTTTTGTAACTGCCCCCTTGTCAAGAGAAGCAACAAATTCCCTCATTGCTTCAAAGTTCCACTGTTTTCAATGAATACGACTCAGGAACTTGCCCTTGGATATAGACCACGCTATAATTTGAATAAAAGTTATTATAAATGTACTAAAGAATGAAACTTAATGTGTGTTTCATAAACACTCTCAAGTTAGTAGCTTTGCTTTTTACTCCTACTACAACACAATTTTAGTAATTATACTTAAGAGTTTTAAAGTGAGGAGATATAATTATGACAGTACTTGTGTTATTCTGGGTCCTCCAAGAAGTAGAAACCAAGATAGGATCAGATATGTAAGAGATTTATTAAAGGATATGCCTGTGAGAGAAAATGTAGAGGGAGCCGGAAGAGGCCGGGAGAGCCACCATCAGACTGCAATGTAGGTTTAACCCTTGGGAAGGAGACAGCAATGGAAAGAAAGGTTTCCACTGAAGTATAGGTCTCAGAAAGTTTCTTTCAAGACAATGAGGAGTCCTTGAGCCAAAGTCACCCATCAGAAGAATCCCATGTCTTCCAGGAATAGACCTGCCTAGGATCCCCACTACCTTTAATCACTAGCCTGGAGAAGCCCTTGGCAGCATGGCCTTGGTGCCAAGGATTCCAGAGCACACCAGCTGGGGCCATCTGCAATTTCATACCCACCCCCTGCAGTTGGACATCTGAGAGGAACGTTTTCATGGCCACTACACTACTGATTCTTAAAGCAGCTGTAGACACCTGTTCTGGATCATCTTAAATAGTGACTTGGTAAACCTCCCCAGTGACTCATACCAGTAAATGTCCATAGGTGGATTCATCCATCTCTGTTTCTAAATTAGAGTGTGGCTAATTCTTTCCAGATTCTGAAGATCCTTAGAAGAAAGAATATATGGTACCACATTAAGTTAAGCTCATGACTGAAAATAATTTAAGAAGGAGGCCAGTGACTATTAATACTAGCCCACAATTAGAAGGCACATGTATGAGCATCCCCTGCATTTGGCTTAGTGATAAACGGCAATCACTGCAGCAATTGCTCACTATTTGACAAAAAAATAGACTGAGGTACCACTGGTAACAATATTTCTGATTTGTGTTTGTCTATTGTATATGCTGGACAATGAAGTAATTTTGCTTATGTATATTTATTATGTATACCTAGAAAGAGTCTGTCATGGAAGCACAAAAAGTATGAGTTAACCGGCCTGACTTCAGCTAGTATAGATCTGTGCTTGGAACTGGAGATGCCTTCATTGTACCCTGAATCACATAAGGGAGGGGTGGATTATCTGATAAATGAATTTGGTTACAAAGGAAAATAGGGGCAGTATAGGGAATAGATGTTGAGGAGGCAACCACAGTGTTTACTAAATGGTGCTTTAAAAAAAATTGCTCCAAACTGTAGAATGGAATCAAAACTCCCTAGTACGGCAGCCGAAGTCCCTCTCCACCTAGCCCAAGCTTCTGTAGAGGTAACACTATGAAAGTCCTGCTAACTAGTTTCAGCCACTATGAATATTTTTTCTTTCTCAAATTGAGCCTTTCACATTCATATCTCCATGCTTTGGAATATTATACAGCCTCACATTGTAATACCCTCCACCCTTATCTGCCCACAAACATACATTTTTCTAAGCTGTGTTTCTGTGTCACCTTCTCTGCACATTCTTCTCTAATCCTTGGATCAGAAATAATTGCTGCTGCTTTTATGTGCCCTTGCACCTAATTTTGGTACTTAGATTAGTTGACCTGATATTAGAGTTGTTTTCATGTCTTTTCTCCTCTCTAGATTTATTGACCATAATAGCATTTCCATCTCCCAGAGTGTCTCACAGAACAAGTGTCCAGTAAGGATATGTTGACTTTCATTGAATGGCTTCTGTTTTCTCCTAAGGAAAAGGAAAGATCTGGGGGTCTGCACCTTTGCATAAGCAATAGCCATTTCAAAACTTATCCAACTTGCCTTATTTTGTTGTCGTTCTTGTTCTGTTTTGTTTTATTTTGGGCTTGTGGCAGGCTGAAACCATGGTTTTTAGTTTCTGCATCTAGGGTAAGGGGAAAAGAAGGATGAGGAAGGGGTTTTACTTGCCCAACCAGAAACAGAACCTAAGAACCCACAGTTGTATTCTCTCTCTTGGATACCCTTTAGTAAGAACATATGCCAGTCACTATCTTTCCTCTTTTTTTTTTTTAAACGAACCGTTATGCCATTCCTATGTTGTTAGGTTCCATTCCTCAGGCAGCTCCTGCTCCCAAATGGCAGGTACCTTCTGCTCTCTGACCCTGGAAAAACAACCTTTGTTCAAAGTCCTTTCTTCTATTACAGGAACACCAAAATACTCTCAGTAGTCAATTTAGAACAATAGTGGTACTTTACCTCAGGAGTGAGGTTGATGTAGGTGGAGACTGATTAAAACCTAAGATCATAAATACATAAAAGATACCGAGCCAGCTTTTTTTTTTTTTTTTTTTTTGAGATGGAGTCTCACTCAGTCCCCCAGGATAGAGTGCAGTGGCATCGGCTCACTGCAACCTCCACCCCAGGTTCAAGCAATTTTCCAGCCTCACCCTCCCGAGTAGCTAGGATTACGGGCACCCACCACCATGCCTGGCTACTTTTTGTATTTTTAGTAGAGATGGGATTTCACCAAGTTGGCCAGGCTTGTCTAGAACTCCTGTCCTCAGGTGATCCACCCGCCTCGGCCTCCCAAAGTGCTGGGATTACAGGCATGAGCCCTGGCGCCCGTCCCTGAGTCAGCTTGTAATGTGGAACTTTACTGCTGACCCACTTTCTTTCATGTCCGTCTCCCACTTCATTTCCCAAGGTCAGTTGTTTCCTGATATGAAGCCTAAAACTTCAACATACTTCACGTCACATTGGATTTCTATCCTGAATTATTCCAAATTCTGGCAAGTCTTATCCAAACTTTCTTTTCTGTGTAATTTTCTCCTTGCTCTTTCTTTCTGAAACCTGAATGCATTTGGTCCTCTGCCAGTCAGATTTCCACTAGTCTTCCAAAGAGTCAGTTATTAATTCACTAATTCAACAGATATTTTTGGACGTTCACTATATACTTATTTATTCAGCATATGTTTAGGTATTTATTAAAAAACTAAAGCCTACTACCTGTCAGAAATGGAACCAGGCAATGAGGACCCAATGGTGGGCAAAACGCAGACTGCTCTTTCTTCCCCTCATTGTAGCAGAGTTATCACTTTCCTAGGAAGACGTTTCTAACCTCCAGACTACACCACATCCTCCTCCTGACCACACCCCTCTACCTTGATTTTCACCTTCCCACCTCTCTTGCGTAGAAATTCGAGCACAAGACACTATAGCTTTAGCTTAATTTCTCCAGCCACGCAAGAACGTATCTGTGTTAGTGATTCCACAGGCACGTTTCCTTCCCAGTAAGAATATCACTCACTGGGCAGCATTTCTGTGGATACTTCCAGAGAAAAATGTCAGTTCTGGTCCTCCTAGTTGAATACCCGCCCCATGACCCTGAGCATCGCCCCGGCTCGGAGTGCATGGCCCGCCGCCGACCATCAGGGGGCAGCCCTCCACGCAGATGCTGGAGGGACAGGGGCGACACAGCGGCCACCGGCTCTGCTGAGCCCACCCCAGGACCGAAGGAAGGGTGCCCGATTCTACGCGGGGCCTCCGCCGTGGCATACGTTGTTATTAGGGAATTATTCTCCCTGAATACGGTTTATTGGAGACTTAGATTTAGCTTTTCTCATCAAGTGCGACAGCAACCTGGCAGGGCCCCCTCCCGAATCCAGAACCCGCGGAGGCTCTGGGGGAGCCGCTTTGGAGCCTCATGCAGGCCAAGGCATCTCTCTGGAAAGACGGGTCGCTCACCTGGTAGGCGCCCCGAGAACCCGCAGAACGGCCCCAGGTGTGGCCCGCAAATAGAACGGGAGACCACGGGCGTGGCTCAGGGTTCGGAAATAATGCCCCGGCCTCGCCTCAGTGACCGCTCAGCCTCACCCCAACCTGGGCGCCGCCTCCGGACAGCTCTGTTTCCGATACCTCGCAGACTCAGGGACAGGCCCGCCTCCAGGATGGCTCCGCCTATGAGACAACCCCGCCCCCAGAACAATCCCGCCTATGATACAGTCCGGCTTCCAGGATGGCCCCGCCTACGATAAAAGCCCGCCTCCAGGACGGCCCCGCTCCACCTCCGAGACAGCCCCGCCCCCAGGACAGCCCCGCCTACGAGACAACCCCGCCCCCAGAAGAGCCCCGCCTATGATACAGACCAGCCTCCAGGACGGCCCCGCCTACGATACAACCCCGCCTCCAGGATGACCCCGCTCCACCTCCGAGACAGCCCCGCCCCCAAGACGGCCACGCCTACGATACAGCCCCACCTCCGGCACTGCCGCGCTCCACCTCCGAAACAGCCCCGTCCCCAGGACAGCCCCGCCTCCGACACTGCACCGCCTCCGAGAACACCCGTTCTGCCTGAGACAGCCCCGCCACCAGGCCAGCTCGCCTCCGAGACCGCGCCGCCTCTGAGACCGCCCTGCCCCGCCTCTGAGGCAGTCACGTCTCCAGTGCAGCCCCGCCGCTGGGACCGCCTCTCCCCTATGAGACAGCCCCGCCTCCAGTACGGCCCCGCCTCCTAGACCACCCTAGACCTCCTACACCTCCTAAACCACCCCGCCTCTGGGACCGCCCCGCCCCGCCTCCGAGGCCGCCCCGCTTCTGGTTCCGCTCCGCCCACCTTCGTGGCAGCCCCGCCTCCAGGACGACCCCGCCTCCGGGACCGCAGCGATCAGCTCTGCGAGGCAGCCCCGCCTTCAAGACCTCCTTCCCCGCGCGCCGAAGCAGAGCCAGTCCGAAAATCCCCAGGAATCCGTACTGCCCAGGCGTGAGTGTTCCAATTCGAGCGGGTCTTGAGGTGGGGGCGGTGGCTGAGCACCTAGGCGCTGGGGGTGGCCGCAAAGTGCCAGAGGCCCCAAACCATTCCCGGGTCAAGGGTGCCCCTCTCTTCTTAGGTCTAGGTCTTTGGTTTCATTTGGTTTTGTGAGTCTGGTGCTATTTGCAGTTTGTCTCAAAACACATTTCTCCCTCCTCTTTGAACTTGTAAATTACTAATTCGATAAAGATGTGACTGGTGTGTGCGCGCACGACGGCGAATTTCGTTGCAGAGTGCTGGGTCAGCTTTCCGGGTTATATTACTCATCTGGGGTTTTTTAGTTTCTCTTTGTTTACCCTGTCGAACTGGTAAGGCCCGAGAAGTGAAAGACTTCGCCTGTCTTCTGGGAGGTAGCTAGCAGGATCTTCAGTTCAGGCTTCCGGATCTCTCTCCGCTGCTTTTTTTCACTGGTCCCTTGTGAGGCTGAGATCATGTACCGCATGCTCAATGATATGCGGAGTATTGGCTCTCTTTTGTGAACTCACTTTCCCGCAAGCAATATTAAGAAAAAGGTGGTGAGTAGGAAGGGAAGAGGGAGAGACTGAATTCTACAGGAAATACAGGGCATGCTCAGAATGTCAATCTTTCTAAGTTTGGAGTGATTTCATGGGCGAAAGTAGCAGGAAAGACGTCCAGTAATCACTGGCATGCCCGACCCTGGAGAAGCCAAGCTGAGGCGCTCAGCAAGTTTCACCTTAGTGAAAGTGGAAGAAATGTAAGGACTCTTGTTAGAGTTCTTGTAGAGGAAGACTGTGGATGAGAATATATCCTGGGGACTAAAACCAGGTTGGTTTGATCTAGAATGATTGCCAACCGAAGGAACTGATGTTTGAGAGAGATGGTGAGAGATTAACAGAATGAGGTGGCTAACAGCACATGTGTAGGGCTGTAGAGGCCCCACAGGGTCGTGGGGTGTCCCTTATGCTGTGCTGAGGTGCAGGATCCGAAAAGTAAAGAGACAGGACACTGAAGGACTGGTGAAGAGCATCTGGACTCAGGAGCCCACTCCACCTATGAGCGGAGATCGGTGAACTCCTCGATGCCCAGAAGTATCTGTATTTATTAGGTAAAATCGGGGGCAGGGTCGTGAGTGAGGTCATCATCTATAGGCTTAGTAATAGGGCATATATAATCACGTAAGTCACAAGCAAGGGAGCCACACCCTTATGTCACTTGGGCAGAGAGGTGGGCCATGCGCAGTGGGGGACCATGCCATGTGCATAGTAGAGGGTCATGTACAGAAAAAGGGGTCCACCCCATTAGGTCAACGAGGCAAGGAGATGGGCTGTGTGCAACAGGTGTCCTGCATAACACTTCTTATCTGGGGGCTGGAGACTTCAAAGAATTTCTAATAGAGGGATACTGTAAGCTTAATGCAGTGGGAGCTGGCAGATTTGTGCTCTTCTCTTAAGATATTTATGGGTGGAAGACTTGAGCTAGCACAGAAGTGAGAAAAGACTGACAGGGTGTACAGCTGCCATGTCTGGTCACACCAGAGGGGTTCTTCTCCTTTGGTTATTTCCAGGATCTCAGGCCTGAAGCCTACTTTCCACAGGAACTGGATGCAGGTACTACAACTCCTTTATCAGGAGGAGAGGCCCTTGCTCCAAGCCTGCCATTCAGCATATGCCTTTTCAGGCAGATATGCCACTGCCTGGGTCTTTGGTTCTTGTCCTGGTCTGGCTGTTTTCCCATGTACTGCTTCTGTTCTGTGACTGCTCTAGGCATTCCTCCTACTACAAACTACTATATGGTTACATAGAAGGATTCTATAAATCAGCACTAAATGTGTCAGTACAGCTCCAAATACAATACCTATATTGTGTACCACAGAAAGATTATATGGGATTAAGTATGATTTTATATATAAGTTAGATATAGTAAGCAGTGAGTTATGCTTCAGGCACTACTTCTGTAAACTAATATGTGATTATATATGAAGGATTACATAAAGAAATAGCTGAGTAATAACACTATACACTAAGATATTCTTCGGGTACTAATTTTGCCTGGGGTCTGGACAGTTCTCCTTCCTCAGTGCCCGTGGGGGGTGTTACCACACACATGGATAGGAGGGAGAGAGGAAGGAGGCACGTGTGGCTCACGGGCTTGGTGTGTGTCTTAGTTTAGATTCTTCCCTAAAGAAAAGCCTTATGCAAGGGGTGGGTAAGTGAGATGAAAAAGCCCAAATGAGGAAATGGAGAGAATGAGACAAGGAAAAAAGGGAAAGTTGGGAGGGGCATGGGCTGCGGGTCTTCCATGTGGTGCTCCGTTTTTCCAGGGGCCTTCTGAGGACCTCTGTGAAGGGCACTTTGGGAAAGCCACAGGGCACTTTTCTATGACTCCCTGCTCTACTGGGTGAAGCTCACCCTGGTGTCAACTCACAGTCACTTTAGGGCTGCCCTGTGGACCTGCAGAGGGGAGAAGGCTCAGAGCATACAGGAAAGTTCCTTACACTGGGATCCTCAGAGATGGGCGGAAGGAGGCAGCACGGGACAGCCAGGGGACTACTAGGCGACTGCAATCTGCAACACTGCCCTCGGCACTCCAGGAAACTAGAAAGGGCAACAAAGGGACAGACACTCGTTTAATCCATGCTCACTCTGTGTGTACCAAACCCAGACAAGGCATTTTTATTCGTTATTGTATTTCTCCTCCTCCTCCTCCTCCTCCTCCTCTTCATCCTCCTCCTCCTCTTCCTCCTCCTCTTCATCCTCCTCCTCCTCCTCCTTCTTCTTTTCTCAAGGTAGAGTCTCGCTCCTTCAGGCTGGAGTACAGTAGCGTGATCTTATCTCATTGCAATCTTTGCCCCACTAGGTTCAAGCAATTCTCCTGACTCAGCCTCCCAAGTAGCTGGGATCACAGGAACACACCACCAGACCCACCTATTTTTTTGTAGATTTATAGAGACAGAGTTTTGCCATGTTGGCAAGGCTGGCCTCAAACTGCTGACCTCTGGTGTGATCCGCCTGCCTCAGCTTCCCAAAGTTCTGGGATTACATGCATTAGCCACCACACCTGGACTATTCATATTCTTTTCATCTTCAAAAACAATCTTCCCAGAGATATATTATTCTCTTTTTGATGGGGAAACTGAGGCTGAAGTCATCTATCCAAGAGGAGCCGCTTAAAGGGAGAAATAAGCTCAGTTTTAGGCCCAGCAAATTTTAAAAGACTTCCGGAACCTGCAGAATGCTACCAAATAGAGGGGTCCCTCTCCATTACGGCGGACTTGATAAGTTGGGTGGGGGGCACTTTCCAACTTACTGAAGCTGTCAGAACAATTGCAGTTTTTAACAGGTCTGCAACCTTTCTGTTCAAAAAAATCAAGCACTCTGCCAACTCAGGCACACCAACGTAACTGTCACCTTAATCTACCAGCCCTGCAGGATCTGGCCCCACCCTCACTCCTCCTCATGTCCTGCTCCCACCTGTCCCTTGCTCTCGGCCAAAGCAATCCCTTTGTTGGAATGCTCTTTGCTCACTGCATTTCAGGTTTCAGTTTCAATGCCACTTTCTCAGAGGCCTTTCCTATCGCGCAGAAACTAAAGGGGTCTTTCAGTTCCTCCATATCATGTCATCATGTTTTATTCTCATCATAGGGATTAATTTGTTGCATTTTATTTATCTGTTTACCTACTTATTTTTTCATTATCTTTCTCCTAAAATACTCAAATCACAAAAAGGGAAACCTCATCTCTTTTGTTTCTTGCTGAACTCCCAGTGCCAAAACAGTGTGTGGCCCACAGTGGGGAATCCAATAAAATTTCGCGGTGAATGAATTTAGTTGTTTTCTTCATCTGTTCTGACCAGCAGTGCTTATCAGTATCTCTTAACTACATGAATGTCTTTGCGTCCCTTGCCACAGCTGATAGAACCCATGGCGACATCTGCTGCTTTTGAGACCCTCAGAGCCGCTGCTGCCTTTGAGACCCTCATGGATGGAGTGACAAGCTGGGATCTCCCCAGGGACCCCGTCCCCAGTGAACTCCTTCTTATTGGAGAGGCTGCCTTCCCCGTGATGGTGAATGACAAGGGCCAGGTACTCATTGCTGCCTCCTCGTATGGCCAAGGCCGCCTCATGGTTGTGTCCCACGAGGGCTACCTGATGCATGCTGGCTTGACTCCATTTCTCCTCAATGCAGTGAGCTGGCTCTCTCCCTGCCCTGGGGCTCCTGTGGGAGTGCATCCATCCCTGACACCTCTAGGAAACATCCTGCAGGATGCTGGGCTTGAGGCACAGATCAAGCCAGAACCAGGAAAGCCCCTGTGTGTTTACTGCATCAGTGCCTACAATGATGCCATGACTGCGACGCTGATCCAGTTTGTGAAACATGGAGGGGGCTTGCTCATTGGGGGCCAGGCGTGGTACTGGGCCAGCAAGCACGGCAGTGACAAGGTGCTGTCCAAATTCCCTGGGAACAAGGTGACAAGTGTGGCTGGAGTGTACTTCACCGACACCTATGGGGACAGGGCCCGGTTCAAGGTCTCGAAGAAGGTGCCCAAGATCCCACTCCATGTCAGGTGAGTGTCTGTTCCCCCTTAGGAAGTCTGACTCAGGTTAAACAATAGAGTTGCTCCCCCTCTTCAACGAGCTTCCATGTCAATACAGGTGACTTTCCACCCAGTTTTGGAACCACCACAAATCAAAAACAGGATGATTAAAATGCACCAAGACGCAAGAGAGGCTAGGCTCTCTCTGCCACTCCCTCCTGTGGCCAACACTGAATAGAAAAGCTTGTCTTACTCACCACTCTATCTCCATGTCTAGTGCCTGGAACATAGAAAGTGCTTCTCAGTAACAAATACATGAAAGAACATTTGTTTGTGTGAGAGATCAAGGCAGACAAACCATGCCATTGTGAGGTTTATATTGCAGGGGAGAGAAAGGCAATTAAGGAAATTAATACGTATGTATTCTATCAGGTATTGATAAGATGCATGAAGGAAAATAATGTAAGTGGACTGCATGACAACAGGAAGGCAGTTGGAGGCTATTTTATTTCAGGTGTTCAGGGAAGTTCTATCAGTCAGGCCAAGTTGAATTTGTCAGGATTTGTTGGTGTTGTTAGCAGAAGGGATTTAGTGTGGGGCATTGACTATACTCATGATAGAGGAGCTGAAAATACACATAGGGGAGAGCAGGTAATGCAGAGATGAGCAACAGCAGAACCAGCAGAGGGAGGTGGTGGTGTTAGTGGAGTCCAGGTGCTGCAGCCACCTGGTAGAAGCTGGAGCCATGCTACCCCTTCCCAGCAGGAGCTGGAACCACAGATTCAAGGTCGGTGTGCTGGGAGCTAGAGTCTCAGAGAAGACACTGTGGTTACCAGCAACACAGCCCGAAGAGAGAAGCACACACTTAGCCTCCTTCCCTCTTCCTTCCTGATTTCAGTCTTCCACCTCTACCTTCCATGGGCAGAGCCCACCAGGATCCAGGGAACAGGTGGGAGCCACAGAAAAGCAGTTTTCTGCAACACAGAGAATGACCATGATGAAAGGTGAATGGAGATGAGAGAAAACAAGCCCATGGCCAGCTTGGAAGGCAGGTCTGTTAGGTGGCATTTGAAAGGAGGCCTCAAGGAAGTGAAGGACTGAGCCATGTGGGCATCTGTGAGAGGATTCCAGGTAGAGTCAGGAGCAAGGGTGAAAATCTGGAATGGAAGCCTGCTTGGTACGTTCCAGGAGCATCAAGGAAGCCAGAATGATGGGAGCTGAGTGAATGACAGCTCAGGTCATATAGGACCTGATAGGCCAGGAGTAGAACTTTAGATCTTATTTGCAGTGAGAAGGGAAGGCATTTTGCATTCTCTACAGAAGATTGCTATGATATGACTTAAATTTCCAAAGGAACCCTCTGATTGATGGTGGAGAACAGACTGTGGGAGGCAAAGGTTGAAGCAGCAGATCAATCAGGAGACCACTGCAGTAGACCACAGGAGAGATGGAGGGTGTCTGTCACCCCTCCACCCAGATAAGGGTGACAGAAGCTATGGAGCTACATACAACAGATTCCATTCTGGACACACTTCAAAGGGAGAACCCAACAGACTTGGCTGATGGATTGAGTAAGGAGAAAGAGGAGTTGAGATTTTTGAACTGAAAAAGACAAACAATTAGAGACAGGTGCTGCTATTTATTGATCTGTGAAAAGACAAGAAGATGGATTAGAGGAGATCAGGAGTTTCATTCTGGATATTTTGAGTTTTAGATATTAGTGACAACTTATTTCTGTTTGGCCACATGTAGCAGAAGCCTTAATTATAGCAGATTAACCATGTAGCCATTTATTTTTTCTATGAAACATGAAGCTTAGGTTGGTACTTCGTCTCTGTGGCTGTGAGTCCATCATGTCCCATAGTCATGCTCTGTCTCCTCATCACTGCCCACTCCTGTCATGGTATGTTATTTTATCCTTATGGCTACAAGATTGTCATTGTCAAGATTGTAGTAATGACATTATACCCATGTAATAATAAATTAGAATGGATACACCTACTTTTAGTTTATAAAATTGTAGGATTGTTGGCCCCACAGGGTTGTGGGGTATCCCTTATGCTGTGCTGAGGAACAGGATCCGAGAAGTAAAGAGATAGGACACTAAAGAACTGGTGAAGACCAGCTGGACTCGGGGAGCCATGTCACCTGTGAGCAGAGATAGGCGAGGCCTTGAATGCCCAGAAGCATCTGTATTTATTAGGTACAAGCAGGGGTAAGGGTCGTGAGTGACAGGCTTAGTGATAGGGTATACATAATCACGTGAGTCACAAGTGAGGAGGCCACCCCATTATGTCACTTGGGCAGAGAAGTGGGCCATGTGCAGTCGTGGGCTCTGCCATGCGCAGTAGTAGAGGGTCGTTTACTAAAAAGGAGTCCACCCCATTAGGTCACCGAGGCAAGGAGGCGGGATGTGCGCAACAGGTGTCCTGCGCAACACTTCTTATCTGGGGCTTGGAGACTTCAAAGGATTTCTAATAGAAGGATACTGTAAGCTTAATGCAGTGGGAGCTGGCAGACTTGGGCTCTTCTCTTAAAATATTTATGGGAGGATGACTTGAGCTAGCACAGAAGTGAGAAAAGACTGACAGGGTGTACAGCCTCCATGTCTGGTCACACCAGAGGGGTTCTTCTCCTTGGTTATTTCTAGGATCTCAGGCCTGAGGCCTGCTTTCCACAGGAACTGGATGCAAGGTACTACAACTCCTTTATCAGGAGGAGAGGCTCTTGCACCAAGCCTGCCATACAGCGTATACTCTTTCAGGCAGGGATGCCACTGCCTGGGTCTTTGGTTCTTGTCCTGGTCTGGCTGTTTTCCCATGTACTGCTTCTGTTCTGTGACTGCTCTAGGCATTCCTCCTACCACAAACTACTATATGGTTATATAGAAGGATTCTATAAATCAGCACTAAATGTGTCAGTATAGCTCTGACTACAATACCTATATGATTATATAGAAAGATTATATGGGACTAAGTGTGATTTTATATATATATGCTAGATATAAGTAAGCAGTGAGTTATACTTCAGGCACTAATCATGCCTGGGGTCTGCAGAGTTCTCCTTCCTCGGTGTCCATAGCGGAGGTGTTACCCACATAAAATCATATTTTTTCTAGAAGCCCTAACTACTAGACTTCTATTTCTATTTTAGCGACCAGGACAGTCCTAGCTGCTAAAATATAATCGAAGTCTAGTGATTAGGGCTTCCAGACTGAAGTACCAGGAGGTCTGAAGGCCTGGCTGTTTTTAAATGGGCATTTGGTGTCTCTGAGGAAATCAAGATTCTGCTACAAAAAAGAAAGAGCTACAGATATAGTGAGCAGCTAGCAGTGACTGGGACCCTCAGCCCCAAGCTCTGGACCTCTTTCAATTCCTTCCCTTCTGAGAGATTTGGGGAGCTGATGGGTTTACTCAGAGACATTAGGGTGGGTCTGATTCACTTCAACTTTTTTATTCTAACACTAAGGGAAAAGCAGGTTGAATCTCATCACCATAATCCCTCTTAATTGCCCCAAGGGACTCTCCTCTTTAGCTAAGTTAACCTCTTTTTCTTCATCTATACCTACATTTGTAATCCCTGCCACCAATTCTAAGGTATGTTTCGTGTGTTTGTTATTTTAACTCTTAATTACTGAAAACGTTAAACATATGCAAAAGTAGACAGAATAGTACAGTGAACCCCCAAGCAGCCATTCCCCAGTCCCAAAAACAGTCAACTACAGGTCTATCTTATTTCATCTGTAGCCCCACTCCTCCCACCCAAGATTATTTTGAAGCAAACAGCAGACATCATGTCTTTTCATCTGTACATGTTTAAATATATATACGTCTAAAGAGATGAAGTCTTTTGAAAACATTACTACAAGTCACCATTATCAAACCTAAAAGAATAATTCCTTAGTGTCATCATTTATTTCCATGATTGTCTTATTTTTCAAAATTTGTTAACATTGGGTTGGACGTGGTGGCTCACACCTGTAATCCTAGCACTTTGGGAGGCCGGGGCAGGTGATCACTTGAGGTCAGGAATTTGAGACCAGCCTGACCAATATGGTGAGAATCTACTAAAAATACAGAAATTGGCAGGGTGTGGTGGTGCACACTTGTGGTCTTAGCTATTCAGGAGGCTGAGGCAGGAGAATCACTTAAACTCAGGAGATGGAGGTTACAGTGAGCTGAGATCATGCCATTGCACTCCAGCCTGAGCAGCAGAGACCGTCTGGAAAAAAAAAAAAAGTATTAACATAGGTATTTTAAAAAGCTGAAATATTACGATTTCTTGATACAACTTTTATATCTCCTTTAAGATACTCATTTTCCTTCCAACTTTCTATTACTTACAGTTTTGTTGCTGTTGTTGAAGACACCAGATTCTCTTTCTCAAACAGTTTCCTTCAGTCTAGACTTTGATAGTAGACCTCAAGGAAGTGAGAGAGCGAGGCATGTGGGCATCTGTGAGAGGAAGGATTCCAGGCAGAGTGAGCAGCAAGGGTGAAAACCTGGAAAGGTAAATTGACTGCCTCCCTGGGGTATCATTTAATATGCAGGTACCAGTCCACGGCCTGTTAGTAACCAGACCACACAGCAGGATGTGAGCAGAGGGTGGGCAAACAAAGCTTCCTCTGTATTTACAGCTGCTCACCATCGTTTGCATTACCACCTGAGCTCCGCCTCCTGTTAGATCAGTGGTGGCATTAGATTCTTATAGGGGTGTGAACCCTATTGCAAACTGCACCAGCAAAGGATCTGGATTGCACACTCGTGAGAAGAATCTAATGCCTGATGATCTGTCACTGTCCCCCATCAACTCCAGCTGGGAGCCATCTAGTTGTAGGAAAGCAGCTCAGGGCTCCTACTGGTTCTACATTATGGTGGGTTGTATAATTATTTCATTATCTATTACAACATACTAATAATAGAAATAAAGTGCACAGTAAATGTAATGCACTTGAATTATCCTGAAACCCCTGCCAGGTCCATGGAAAAATTGTCTTCTATAAAACAGGTCCCTGGTACCAAAAGGTTAGGGACCACTGATTTAACATATTCATCTTTTCCTTGTATTCTCTGCATAAGACAAATTAAAAGTTAGATTTTGATTTAGGTCAGGATTGACAAACTAAGGCCAGCCCCCTGTTTTTGTGAATAAAGTTTTGTTGAAGCACAGCCATGCCCATTCATTCAAAAACTGTGGCTGCTTTCAAGCTTCAGTGTCTACCATTGTTGAGTAGTTTCAGCAGAGACCATATGGCCCACAGACCTAAAATATTTGTCTAGCCTTTTAAGGAAAAGTTTCCCAACTCATGATCTGGAGGTTTGATCAGATTCATGTTTGAATTTTTGACCTACTTTATAGGTGGCAGTATGTACTTCCATTGGGTAGAACGTAATGGTCTGGCGTTCTCTCTTACTGTGAGGTTGGCAGTCCTTAATTACCATTCCTTGGCCCTAGACCCATTCATTTGTGTGTATAAAATGATGAGTTTAAAATTTTAGTATTTATTTTATTTGTTATTTGTAATAGTTTTATAGAAGAAACTTCCATTCACCAATTACATACTCTATGGCATAATTTATATAGGAAAGGCAAAATAAATGTTGAATTCTCTCTTTATCATTTTATAACCAGTTTTCAATATTGAGTTGGTTTCCTAGCATCTTCCCGAGGTCACCAATGTGTTTACATTTTTCTTAGAATCATTATGAAATCACAATTGAAAACACAATGTGTTTCATTTGTTATCCTGATTGATATTAAAATTGTCATGTTTGGCTATTGTGAGCCAATTAAAGATGATTCCTGAATCTTTTCCACCCAACCTTAATGAGCTTCCTGACTTTTGGTATAATAGGAGGTTTCAGTTTCCTCTCATACATTTCCTGCTCAGGCCCAGGATTCGCCATTTCTCCAAAAAGCCCTATTTTTCTTTCTTCTTTTCTTTTAATGTACAGCCCATATTTCTGCTAGGAGCCATAATTTGCATTTAGAACCACAATCTGGGCATTAGAGGTGTGCTTGTGATTTCTGCACATTGATTTTGTATCTAGAGACTTTACTGAAGTTGCTTATCAGTTTAAGGAGATTTTGGGCTGAGATGATGGGGTCTTCTAAATATACAATCACGTTGTCTGCAAACAGAGACAATTTGGCTTCCTCTTTTCCTAATTCATTACCCTTTATTTCTTTTTCTTGCCTGATTGCTCTGGTTAGAACTTCCAATACTATATTGAATAGGAATGGCAAGAGAGGGCATCTTTGTCTAGTGCCAGTTTTCAAAGGGAATGCTTCCAGTTTTTGCCCATTCAGTATGATATTTGCTGTGGGTTTGTCATAAATAGCTTTTATTATTTTGAGATATATTTCATCAATGCCTAGTTTATTGAGAGTTTTAAGCATAAAGGGTTGAAGGCCTTCTCTGCATCTATTGAGATAATATGTGATTTTTGTCTTTGGTCCTGTTTATGTGGTAGATTATGTTTATAGGTAAGTGTATGTTGAACCAGCCTTGTATCCCTAAGATGAAGCCTACTTGATCATGATGTGGTGGAAGCAGGAAAGGATACTAGAGTTTTTCATCTTCTAAGCAAAGTAGTGAGCTGCACTCCCACATGAATTCCATCTGTGGCTGGAGGTTGGGTGAAGAGGGCCTAGCTTACTAGGTCCCCTAAGAGTGGACAAACCAGGCCTAATCAAAAAAATGCCAAATCTAAAATGCTCCAAAATCCAAAACTTTTTGAGTGCCACCAACACCATACCAGAACAGGAAAATCCCACACCTGACACCTTTGCTTTCTGATGGTTCAATGTATACAAATTTGTTTCATGCATAAACTTATTTAAAATATTGTAAAAGTTGTCTTTAGGCTATGTGTAAAGGTGTATAGTAAACATAATTAAATTTTGTGTTTAGAGTTGGGTCCCATCACCAAGGTATCTCATTATGTATTTACAAATATTCCAAAATCTGAAAAATATCAAAATCTGAAACACTTCTGGTCATCCCAACCATTTTGCATAAGGGCTGCTCAACCTGTATCATCTCCTTCAATTCTCACAATAATCTTCAGAGATTGGAAATATAGTTAACAAAACCAGGAGAAAGAGTAAACATTGTGACATTGTTAGAAATATTTATATTTTTAATCAGACTTTTGATCTGACCTAGAAATATGAATATATCTGTGCTCACAGGTGGGTAGCAATTGTTTTCTGACTATTCCAGATGAGTAATTTATGTACTTGCAATTTTTTTAAGTGAGTTTTCTAAAATATTTTCTTAAACTTGACAGGTTAAAATAGGTTAAATAAAATTATGTGTCTAATAGGCATGATTGAGACCTAAAGAGATTTTACCCTGTATCTACTAGCTTAAAATAAAAGAAAGAAAAATACCTTTACAATTTCAAGGCACCTCTCTGATTATCTATGCCCATATTGTTCAATGATGTTGAAGACTGTTTTTAAAGTTTTGTTATTTGCTACAGTTTATCTGTATTAAATTAATTTAAAATACAAAAAAGATGTTGTAGGCAGAAGGTCTTCAAAAGGTTTTTTAAAGCATCTGATCAACATAGTTCTCTCTAGCCCTTTTTTTTGATGTTATGGATCCTAAGGAAACATTGTTTCTAGATTCTAGTATTTCTATCCTGTTTATATTTATCAGAGAGTGAATTAAATCCAGAAGAGTATTCTTACATCCCATACAATCTGAACAGAAAAACAAAACAAGCCAAGTGAAGATATATTGGATTATGACCAGTAGACTTCATTACCTTTATGTTTAAGAAAAAAATGTATAAATTGTTAGATGTTTTACCTTTAGTATAGTGAAAATGATAGCAGGGCACTTCACAATTAATCAGTGCTGTAACTTCCTAATTTGGCAGCATTTTAATCAGCATTCAGAAACCTCTCACCCATGTTACCTGTCTGCTCAGGTGTGGTTTGGTATAATACATTTCCTAAACATGCCATCCCCTTCCTTTCCTTTCATCCTCAGTGGCTTCCCCTGCACTTCCAGCTCTGAAGTAACACATGCTTTTCCTTTCTTAAATACAGAATTATTTGCACCTTCTCATCCTGTAAAGCTTCCTTTGCATAAGGTATACTGCTGAGAAATATTAAGTTTGCCCTGCCCCTGTGGCTCCCTTGTGGAGAATACCTTTTAGTTTGTAATTAGTGGTAGGTGGGTAACAGCTGCCTAACTGGTATATTTTTGAGTTATGAGTAAATATAGAAAACCTGTATATTACTAAGAATCACCTGTCTAAGAGCAAATAAATATGTGGATGATAATTTGCTTGGGGCCTCAGCCTGGAGCACTGTTAGCCTCTTAGCTCTCAGGCTGTTATCCCCCAGACAGATCCACTCTGTTGTTCTATCTGGATGTCTGCCTCTCGATACCTTCAGTGCTGCCGGGGTGGGGGTTCCTTCAACCAAGCTGGTTCTCAGTAGTATACCTGTCAATAACCTTGTACCCAGATGTAGGTTTCATCAAAGTCTCAGTAATTGATTGAGAGAGTTCTAATATGTAGACAACAGTGGTTTTAGAGGCATGCCAGCCTGGGTTTTGTAAGAATTAAAGAGGTAAGAAACACGAAAGATGGTTTGACAGTCAAGGATAGGTTTAATTTAGAGAAAACAAACCTGAGAGGGGCTTCTGGCCGAGTTAGGTGAGAGGCACATTCTCTTACAGACTAAGAGTTTTTAAGGATTCAGGGTGGGAGAGTCTATGAGAGGTTTCTACTGCTTCTGTGTCTCTTTGTTATGCTTATGGGAGGGAGAGTTGTGTGTCTATTCCCATACATCTTTCTGTAGCTGCATACCCTTCACCCCTGCTTTTAGCTTCCTTATCATAGTGCACCTGAAAGAAAAGGAATGTGCTTATTAAGGCACACTGTTTTACTGGGGCCCATTGTTTGAGGGTGAAGTTTGGCAGTTACCCAAGAGACTTCTTTGCCCCCACCTCCTTCTGTGCATGAGCTGTCTTATTTGTGTTTTACTGTCTGCTCTTTCTTGCTGCTTGTAGTTAGAAGAAAAGTGATTTCCTTGAAATGCGTGAGGCTAGAAAGGGAGTTGGCACTTAAAGTAGCGGTGTTTGTCCAAAATGATGGTACTCCTGCTCTGTCACATTTGCTTCCTGTCTCTGCCCATTATTAGCTAAGAAACATGTGGAAAGTTTCCTAGTTTTTCCAAAGTTCATCTTTAGAATGAGAATAATAACTTTCAAGTTTATTATTTTGATTAAAAGATATAATACATATGTTAAATGCCTAGCATATATTAAACCTCATTAAATAGCAGCTACTTTTATATTGCTATAATGGCTATATTGTCTTGTCATTTGACACAGCCCTTCCCTCTCCCTGATTCTCATGTTATGTGGGCTTACATTCCCGACCCTCCTTTTCTTCGACCTGTTACCTGGAATTACCCCACCTTCCCCATCTATATTAATGATACTTCTATTCTTGGCTTCCCCTCTTCTTCTCATATCATTCCTCAAGTTGCTACCTACACTGACTCTGCCCAAGCTGCTGCCCCTCCCATGTGCTTTTACGCCTCCACAATCTGGGACCGTGATTTCTCTGCCAATGTCTATTTTCCTCCTTCTATTCCTCTTTCTTTTTCTGGTTCTTATTGCTTCAATCTTGGAATCTGCCGACTTCATACCTTTTCTGGCCCCCCAGCCCTCTTCCCAGGTGAAACCGTTTATTCTCATGACTGGATACTCAACTATGTGGGAATTAGAGAAACTTACAACTTTTCCTCCGCTCAGCTATTTCCACTCATTGAGTGCCGGCATTGTCGACCTTCTAACTCCTCTTTGGACCCCTCTCCACATTGGCAGTTCTGTTTTCCTAACCAAAAGCAAGCTATTAATTATACCCTGCCTTCTGGTTTCTCCTTTTTGACTGGTCTGTTCCTCAGCCTCTTGGCATTGCCTTAGCTCGTTATGAAACACCTGGTGGTTGGGGCACTCCTATTTACACTACCTTCTCTGGCAAAGCTTATACCTCTCTCTGGAAGCTGTTTATATCCTTATTTTCTGTTTGTTTTATCTTATCCTGCTAGACACACTATTTATACTCAATCTTGCGTTGCTTATTGCTGGTAATGTTTCAATTACCTGGGCTTCTGGCTCATATTCCTTTTATTGTGAAAATTGTATTCTTACCAACTACATTGATCCTTCCTTTTTTCCTGTCCATACCCTTCTTCTTGTGCACCAGCCCCCCTATGTTATGTTACCCGTTAATGTTTCTGGACCTTGGTATGATCAAAAAGCCCTTCTTATTTTCCAACAAGTTTGTGATCTCATGATCCGCCCTAAACATTTCCTTGGTATTCTCATTGCTAGCATTATTGCTGTTGTTTCAGTTGTGGTCACTGCTGCTACCGCGGCTGTTAGCCTTGCTCACAGTGTCCAAACTACTACTTATGTTAATCATCTTGCAAATAATATTTCTGTTATCATGGGAACTCAAATGGATATTGATAAGAAAATTGATGAAAAACTTAATGCTTTGGAACAAACTGTTACTATTCATGGTGATAAACTTAATATTCAAAAGCACCTGGCCCTTCGTTGCCATGCAGGTTATAAATATATTTGTGTTACTAATACTCCTTATGATGACACTAAATGGCAGTGGCCTCTTGTTAAGGCCCATTTACAAGGAATTTGGACTCATGAAAATTTATCTCTAGATGTTTTCAAGCTTCAGCAGGAATTTCAGCAGGAAATTTCTTGTTGGGAGCTGCCTGAGGATGACACAATCGCCTGTGATATTGTGCAAACCTTGTCTTCCTGGGTACGTGGAGTTCATCTCCCGTCCTTTTCCTCTTTAATTGGTATTGGAGTGGCTTTACTCCTTCCTATAGTCCTTCTCCCAGTACTCTTTCGCCTTGTGTTCTCCTCCCTTCAACAATTTCGGCTCAAGCTTTTTGAGTTGCATTTAAAAACAAAAGAAGGGAGAACTGAGGGAGAACTGTGGGGAACGCTCCCGTGTGAGGCCCCTAGGAAACCCTAGGTGCCTGTGAGAAGATGCTAAGAATCCTTAGAGTGGAATGTTTTATTATTAAGTCTTGTAGCTCAGTATCATTAACTCCCTGAAATATCTTGAGTTCAAACAGGTAAAAAGCCACAGGCAGACCTGATACCTGAACTCTATGACATTTGCCATGTGAGTTTGAAAATGGGATGACAAAACTAAGACATGCCATCTCCTAATTTTCATGCTGAAAAGAAATTCAAGAGAATCTGCACAAGAGTTACGTTTTTCAATAATGTTTTACTCCCAGGCTAAACTATACTTTCAAAAAATATTTAATTTCTAATTATAAAGGAAATAAATGTTAATTTTAAAATTTGCGACAATAAAGCTTTTTAAACATAATTAAAATGACCTACAATCCCACCAGCCAAGATGACCATTGAAGACTTATTTTTTTAACAAAGACATTTTGATAAATATGTTTAGGTTCTGCTTCTATGTCTAATTTTATGGTTTTTGATTTTTCCCAAAATGTGTCTTATTTAGAGCATGGTCTCTTGTAATCCAATCTAAACATTTTTTCCATTAAGCATTTTGCAAATTATCTAATAATTATTTTAATCACTATATGTTTTGCAATCTCTTGTTAACTATAATGTACTTAACCAACCTCCTATTGCTTGACATTTACAGTATCTACAAATTGTTTAAAAAATTCTTGAAATACAAAGCCTTTTCTAGATTCATTACATTTTGACATTCCTTAATAAAAAGAAGTAAATACTCTAACCAGGTTTGAGTGAACTTTTAAAAATGATGTGTGTTTGTATAAATCTTCAAGTATAGTGTGAAACAACTTACTTGTGATGTGTTCCTAGATCAGAACTACCCTATAGAGAGTACAAATTTGATGATTTTACAGACTTCCTTTACAGAAAATTAGCTCAAGTAATTAATAAGCAGTACGATTTTCTCTGGGCTTGATAAACTACTTTTTCTAATGTAATTTGTTTATATGCTTAAATATTTTAAAAGATAAGAAACTGAAGCCAGAATATTCGATACTTAGTTGCCTAAATGGGAAGAATTTCTGCAGGTGCTCATTTCGAAAATGTGGATTTTCAGATATGCAAGTAAGGGCAATCACTACCTCTATAGCAATTCCTCAAATCTATGACAACATTGCTTGTGAGAAATACTGTTATTTTATGTATCACTAAGCAACAGCAAACACTACCAATTAAATGATAATATGCCATCAGTTGTGAAAAAATATGCCTTAAACAAGATAAAAATAAATGATATTAACATGCTCAAATTCTAATATTAGTAAGAATGGGAAGGTTGTCATGAACCATGCAATCTTCCTACCTGCACGTAGATTTCTCCATTCAGTGAGTACAATTCAGTGGCTCATTAACTAACTGTAGCCTCATCGTTTCTACTGTCTCTTCCAGGTGTGGGGAGGATGTCAGGCAGGACCAGCAGCAGCTCCTGGAGGGGATCTCAGAGCTGGACATTAGGACAGGGGGAGTCCCCTCAGAGCTGCTGGTGCATGGAGCCCTGGCCTTCCCTCTGGGGCTGGATGCCTCACTCAACTGCTTCCTGGCAGCTGCTCGCTATGGCCGAGGCCGGGTGGTCCTGGCTGCCCATGAGTGCCTGCTCTGTGCTCCCAAGATGGGGCCCTTCTTGCTCAATGCTGTGCGCTGGCTGACCGGAGGCCAGACAGGCAAAGTTGGGGTGAACACAAGTCTAAAAGATCTGTGTTCCCTCCTATCAGAGCATGGCCTGGAATGCAGCTTGGAGCCACATCTGAACAGCAACTTGGGTGTCTACTGCTGCAAGGCCTACAGTGACAAGGAAGCTAAGCAGATGCAGGAGTTTGTGGCTGAGGGTGGGGGGCTGCTGATTGGGGGCCAGTCCTGGTGGTGGGCCTCCCAGAACCCTGGCCACTCCCCCTTGGCTGGCTTCCCTGGTAACATCATCCTCAACTGCTTTGGCCTCAGCATCCTGCCTCAGACTCTCAGCGTAGGCTGCTTCCCTGTTCCAACCCCTGAGATGAGAAGCTACCACTTCCGCAAGGCACTGTCTGAGTTCCAGGCTATATTAAACCATGGAAATGGGAACTTGGAAAAGAGCTGTCTGGCAAAGTTGAGAGTTGATGGCGCAGCCTTCCTACAGATTCCTGCGGAGGGGGTCCCTGCTTACATATCCCTGCACAGGCTCCTGAAGAAGATGCTAAGAGGGTCTGCACTCCCAGCTGTGAGCCAGGAAAATCCAGTTGCTGGTGACTCCATTGAGGCTGCAATGCTCTCTCTGGCCACTCGGCTGGCTCACTCTCTAACTGACTGCTCCCAGCTAGCCAAGGAGCTTGGCACCAGGACCTGCTCCTCCAATTTGTACCCCTCAAAACACCCCATCACCGTGGAGATTGAAGGAAACAACCCAGGTATGAAAAGAGAACAGTGTGCCCAGAACATGAAAGACCCAGGGGAAAATGGGATTGGCTGACACTACACAGGACATTGCAGGTACTTCCCCTCAGACCCTTAGGAAGACTAACTCCATTCTTTTTTCTTTTTTGACAGATTTTCACTCTGTCACCCAGGCTGGAGTGCAGTGACACAATCTCGGCTCACTGCAACTTCCACCTCCTGGGTTCAAGCAATTCTCCTGTCTCAGTCTCCTGAGTAGCTGCAACTACAGGTGTGCACCACCATGCCTGGCTAATTTTTGTATTTTTAGCAGAGATGGGGTTTCACCATATTGGTCAGGTTGGTCTCAAACCCCTGACCTCAAGTGATCCACCTGCCTTGGCCTCCCAAAGTGCTGGGATTACAGGCATGAGCCACTGAACCTAGCTGACTCCATTCTTTATCAGGTACTTTCAAGAAAATGGAGGTTGGGGCTCTGTTTAGGGATTAGGAGAGATGAATCCAAGAAGAAGTATGGATGACTTAAGATACACAGGGGAGAAGCTGCACCTATGGGAGGGGCTGTGAGGCCCCAAGTGGAGATGAAGTCACACTGGAAGAACTTTCTCTGTGATTTTGTCAGGCAACAATGATTGCTGGGTGAGTACTGGGCTCTACCTCCTGGAAGGACAAAATGCAGAAGTCTCACTGTCTGAAGCTGCTGCCTCTGCTGGCCTGAAGGTAGGCTAAACACCTACAGTTGCCACCTCTCAACACCCTAGAGCTGTATCATTCTCACCCACTGTCCAGTTCCAGCTCAGGGGGATCCAGCCAAGAGTACAGGGATGGATTATTCTGCTCATTTTACAGATTTTACAGTTGAATTTCAGGGCACCTAAGTGAGTGACTAAAGTGCCTAGTGTTATCAAGTAAAAGGAGCTCACGTAGAATGTGCTAGAAGCCAATACTATGACACTTGAGGTTTTAACCAAAAAAAAAAAAGCATTTGATTACAAGTTGACTAATAAGGAGACAGGAGAGGAGTCCACCTCAAACTGTCTCATTGTGCCTCCTTTAAAGAGTTCCTTTATTAGAGAAGGTTTAGGGAGTGGGTTCCGTGATCAGTAGGTGATTGGTAGAAGGAAAAGAAAGGGCTGGAAACTCCTCAGGCATGTGCACGTTTCTCTTCAAACCTCCTCATGGGTCCCATGTGCAGATTCAGGGGGAGTTAGTGTGAAACCTGCAGTGGAAATTTGGGCTATGATGTTGGCAAGCACATTCTGCACAAACTCTTATTTTATCTCTTTATCTTGATGCCTGAAGTGTGTCCATAATCCCATCACTCCCCAAAATATGCCCTAAATGTGGAATTTAAATTCATCCTGCCTCTTTGACTCTGAGGGTCACCTTCTACCACAGCTAGGGTCTCTTTTGTGTCGGCATTCTTTCTGGAGCTTGCTTACATCAAACCTAAGAAGCTTTTCTAGAAAAGAAACTCCAGGATTCTAGAAAAGAAACTCCAGGATTCTAGAAAAAACAGACCTTCATCCATCTGGCCAGGAAGGGAAGCTCTGGGAAAAGAGGGAGAGAGAATTAACCTCACTGCCTATGGACAGGCCTCCTGTGTATTCACAGAGGACAAAGCAGAGTCCCTGAGCTCATTCCCAACTTCAGACTCACCACACTGGTGTAGGTCCTGCTGGAAGAGCCCAGGATTCTGCCTGGCAAAGACACAAGGCCTTTGTCAGGATCAGCCTGGTCTCCCACCAATTCATGTCAGGTGAAGATTTACAGTGGAGCTGTTGAAATCCTTGGAAAAATGATTTTACATGCTTTGAAGTCCAAATGACATTTGAGTGCTAAAATTTCCTAAGCTTCCATGCCTAGCACATAGAAAAGGGAAGCTGGGTTTTCATGGGTATGTTTGTGTAATACTTTCCATCTACACCACCTCACACACATCGAAGGACTCTAATTCCTCCAACACTTGGTGGAATCACCTGTCCAGGTACAGATTGGTTGCCACACTGATGACCTGACCAAGGCCAGGAAGCTATGTCGAGCCCCCGTGGTGACTCACCAATGCTGTATGGACAGGACCAGTCAGTCAGTCTCCTGCCTCTGGGGTGGCCTTCTCTACGTCATTGTGCCCAAAGGCAGACAACTAGGCCCTGTGTCTGTCACTATCACGGGGGCTGTGCATGCCCCATACTACAAGCTGGGTAAGTGGACTGAACATTTAGTGGGGGAATTGTGGGATGGTTGCTAAATGGGAGAGGGATGAGGTTTGATGGAGAGAAAGGGCAAGAACTGTTGGGGGAGAACATGGAGGCAGGAGATATGGAATACCCTGTGTCCATGGAGACTTCAGGGCAGACAAAGAGAAGAGTCTGGAAGTCCTTTCCATTACAAGAAGAACATTATTGCAGCATTCTTCCAGAGTTCAAGTTGTACTTTTAAGCTCAAGGTATGTTGCAAAGTGGTTGTGGTGGGTTCCATGCTATTCATTTCCAGGTAAGACATCCATAGAGGAGTGGAAGAGGCAGATGCAGGAGAACCTGGCTCCCTGGGGAGAGCTGGCCACGAACAACATCATCCTGACAGTGCCAACCACAAAGCTCCAGGCCTTGGAAAACCCTGAGCCTGTGCTCCGCCTCTGGGATGAGATGATGCAGGCTGTGGCCAGACTGGCGGCTCAGCCCTTCCCTTTCCGCCGACCCGAGAGAATTGTGGCTGATGTGCAGATCTCAGCTGGTGGGTGCTTCCAGGAATCCTCCTAGTCAGTGGACACCATTTATCTATTACTTTGGTGTTTATGAATATTCAAGATTTGTAAGCATAATTTTATTAGTAAAGCAAGGGAAAAGGTTATAAAGGACATTGACCATGATGGGGATGAAAGAATGTTTACACGTGAAAAGGCAAATTGTTGACATCTACCAGGTGAGATGGTTTAACCAGATGGTTTAACAATCTCAGATAAAGTTATACTGGGAATTCATAGATGGCAAAAAGGGTCATTTCAATGAAAGCCTCCAAAATGAACTATTATCTTCAAACATAAGCCAGAGTTTAAAATGAAAAGAAGAAATATGGAAGGAGGTGTATGTTAGGTACTTAGTGATTAAAAAGAAACAGGTGCATAGGAAGCAAAATAAGGAACTCTGGATCCCACATGGGGAAGTTCCTTTGGATCTCAATTTTTGTATCTTCAAATAAGGACAAAAGTTATCTCTGTCATTGAGTATAAACCTGGATAAAAGTTGCATACATGGGGAAGAAAGAATGACACTGTTCCAACCCTAAAGGATGTCAAATCCAGACATAGGACATATCACAGACTGAGATGCCAAAGACACTCACACACACAAAGTGAAGGTGTAAAATGCCAGCAAGAATGACTATGTAAAGTATAACCAATTTCTTCAGGGCCAGAGTGAGGAGGAGGGCACAACTCAGGTGTGAGAGGCTAAGAAGGGGATTAGGTACTATTCAGTTTCTGACCAAGTCAGGGAACGGTGTCTGCTTTCCAATCAGCATAGAGATTCTGCAATTACTGGGGATAACCATGATGGTGAAGAAAAGTCCCATATGGATAAGAATGAAGCATATAGTTTGGGTGGACCCTCCTTCATGCTCATGTCTTCCTTCTGTGTCCACAGGCTGGATGCATTCAGGATACCCCATCATGTGCCACCTGGAGTCTGTGCAAGAGCTCATCAATGAGACGAGCATGAGAAGTCGGGGTCTGTGGGGCCCCATCCATGAGCTTGGCCACAACCAACAGCAGGATGGATGGGAGTTCCGCCCACACACTACCGAGGCCACCTGCAACCTTTGGTCAGTCTATGTGCATGAAACAGTCCTAGGGATCCCCAGGGCTAAGGCCCATGAGGCTCTGAGCCCTCCAGAACGAGAGAGGAGAATCAAGGACCACCTGGGAAAAGGAGCTCCCCTGTGTGACTGGAATGTGTGGACAGCCCTGGAAACATATCTGCAGGTACTGAGCTGAAATTCTTGGGGAAGGGGATGACCAGACTTCTCTGTCATGTAGCGACCTGGATCCCAGGAGCTCTCCAGCTCCTTCACTACTCACCGGTCTGGCCCACCACCTGCCCTAGAAATGAGAGGGACTGGGCCTCATGGTGCTGATTCTCGGGTTATGCCCCCCTAAGGCAGAAAGAATGGCAGCTGTCTCACTCACCTTCTGATTCTGCAATGTAAGAGGAAATGAAAAGTACTATGAAAATAGAAATAGAAATATAACATATTATTCAAGGGCAGGAATTTTGTGAGACGTTCCTGAAGCTGAATCGCAGTTCTTCCATTCACTGGCTTTGTACTTGGTCTCCTAATAAGTGTTCCATAAATGGGCATTGTTTTGTTTAATGTGTTTCACCTAAATTTTACGAGTCAAATGAGTGTTACACTTTTTTTATATATATATAATAACAGGGTGTCTGCAATGCAGCTGTGTTACAATAAGAAGGCATTGTCAGAGATAAATCTGCTAGCAAGGGTCTCAGCATCCATCATCCCACTTGAAACCAAAATGATTTAAAATGAATACCCAATCAAGCCAATAGGAGAACACTGAAGTCATAAAGCAACTGTGAAATAAACACAAATCCCTGCGCCCTCCCCTAGTCCAGCATTGAATGTCCAGGTTTCTGAATTGTCAGTGTTGTGCCCCTGTCACATCTCCCATAGCTCTATAGATAGGAGCTGTCTGGCTCATTTTCCCAGAGCCAGACACTAAATTAAAGAATTTCAGCAACTTGTCAAGAAGCACCCATTTAAGTGAAAGACCTAGAACTTAAAATCAGGACGTAATGACAAGCCCCAGACTTTCACCTTGCCATACCTGCTCTTAGATTTTTTTGCCTGTCACTAATTTTCTGACCATGAACATCACACAGCCCAGTCAATGAGGGAACTTTATGTTGTATCCACTTCCACACCCTTCGATAGACAGTCTGGGGTATACAGGGCCATGGACCAAAATGGTAGATTGCCCCTAAAGTGTAAGTTTAAGCCCTAATTCTACCCTTCTCTGCTAAACTGTGGTGCCCCAAATATCAGTTCTCAAAAGCTCTAGAGAGACCACAACTGAGACTCGGCCGCAGGACAAACAGGCACCTTGTGACCCCATTTCCTGCTAGAGGGCTTCTCCCCGGCATCCCCACACCTGCTGCCTCAGCGCAGGCTCTCATTAGTTTTCCCTCAGTCTATTCCAGTAGCCTTGTAAGTTGTCCCAGCATCTTGCCTCAGTCCTCTATGATCCATCTTCCTTACACTCCTTCCAAAATAATGTTAATACTCTGTCTAGAAAATGCTTACAGGGTTCTCTAGCACATATGGGATACAGTTGAAGCTGATTAGCAAGGCATAAAAGGCCCTTCCTGACCAGAGGTGCCAGATCTCTAGCTGTTCTATCTTCTATTGCTCTCACCTCCGTGATTTCCCTCTGCCATGCCAACCTGCTTACTGTTACAGACACATCTTGCTGTTTTGGCTCCTGTGCCTTCCCTTGTTTTCTTCCTGCTGCTGAATCATCTTGTCCATTACCTGTCAAGTCACCTGTCCAAATTCAGCTCTGTTGCCCACTTCTCCTGGACATCATCTCCTTGATAAGCCAACATTTTTAGCAATGTGTTTATTTACATGTCTCTCCCTTTGGCCAGTGTTCTCTAGAGGGACGAGAGCTCTAAGTCATGTTTGCTAGCACAATAGCTGGCATGTTGTAGATGTCTAACAATATTATATGTTTAATAAATGTTGAATTTTCTGGTGTATAAAAGTGTCAAACAGCAAGCCAGTGAGAAGGGAGGAGCAATAATGAGGGTACAACAGTGAGACTCTGAGGGAGGCTCGGCTTCCGTGGTGTCATCTTTCCTCGTGCTTTTACAAGTCAGAGTCAGAGAACGCCCATCTATTAAAGGGAGAGTGGGGATGTGAAATCCCAGCACTTTGCTCACTGGAAATTTGCATAATCTTAGTGAACAAGGGCTTTTGGCCAAGGGCTTTCCTGAGGGAGCCCCTTAAGACATGCTGGATCTTTTCTTTTTCTGCCCTCAATGCAGTGTTCAACAGAGCAATATTGTACCTTGCAGATAGTCACAGGACCGAGATGGCTATAAAATCAGGATTATTATGATGTCTGGAAATTATACTATTGGAGGTGCCCAGCTTTTAGAATCTCAATAGGCCAAATATGTAAGAAGTGAAGGTTTCTCATCTCAGTCAGGCCCAAACCTGCCCTGATGCTGAGGAAAACACTTAAGATCTGGGAACACAAATTTTTAAATTAAAGATAATTATAGTGGTCATTTGTTGAGTATTTAACCACTATTCAGACATCAGGTTTCCCCTGAGCATCCTCACTATAGGCAGGGGGTGCTGTTTTGTGGCCAAGGGGTGGAATGAGCCAATGAGATTGCATTAATATGCAGGGGTAGAGTGGGGAGATAGGGGTACATATCAGGGGTGAAGTTAACTATTGAGAGGAGGTGATCATGTGAATGAAATATACTTATGAACACACATGTTGCATCACTTTTGCAAACTTGACTTTTCATTCTGTTCTTCTTTCTCTTTACAGCTCCAGGAGGCCTTTGGGTGGGAGCCATTCAACCAACTCTTTGCTGAGTACCAGACCCTCTCTCACCTACCCGAAGACAACACTGGCAGGATGAATCTATGGGTGAAGAAGTTCTCTGAAAAAGTGAAGAAGAATCTGGTTCCCTTCTTTGAGGCCTGGGGCTGGCCTGTCCAGAAGGAGGTGGCTGACAGATTGGCCTCCCTACCAGAGTGGCAGGAAAACCCCATGCAAGTGTACCTCTGTGCCAAGAAGTAAAGGATGCCCAACAATGCGGGAGAGAAGAGGCAAGATCACGCCGCCAACTCCACCACCAGGGTTTTGGCCACATGTGCTCAGTACCTGGAGCCTGAATCCTCCTTACCAGCCTGAGCTCTAGGTGGTGGCCAAGGTCATAAGAATAACTTCAACCCATTTCTGAAAAAGGTTCTCTTGTGCTTCCTTTTATTGTTTTTCTGTTGACACTGTTTCTTTCCCCAGGAGACTCACTTCACCTCTTAGTCTCCCAGAAAGGATGTTTCATCCTGCCTTCCTGAGGGTTCTATTTTTGACCAATAGCTCTAAAGACCATGGGTTCCCATAACAACCATATCCCTTTCTCATCCCTGCCGTCCCTGAACAAAGATTCTAACTTGTTATGCTTTAAGAAGTTTTCTAATAGCAAGACACACCGGAATCGTGGAGAGAGCCCTAAGCCAGCTTTGGTTTTACAGAAAATCACTTCACCTCTCTGTGTTTCTGTCTTCACATCCATGACATCGGTATAGGAATCTTTTCCTCGCAAAGCCGTTGTTTGGTAACGGTGAACATGTTTGAAACCACAATATGCACAGACATTACGTGTGTATAGGGTACTCCTTAGATTTCTCCCGGTCCCATAGTGGACTGTTACGGTGTCGAGTCTAGCATGCACATCCTGGGCACTGAATCTCACTTCAGTGTTCACCCCCTTGATGTCCATATTCAGTCCTTGTATATTTAGAGAATACCGATGTTTTCCCAGACATGCTCTCAATAATGGTAGTTGTCAGCAGTATCCTAGCCCTTTTTACATGTTTTCTCTCTCTGCTCGAAGGATTCTTGGGTATAACCTAACCTCCCCAAAAAGAGTCCTGTGCTCAAACTGAGGGTCACAGAGCTGGGGGGTTAGGTCTTTGGGGACAGCTCTGTCTTCCAGTACTTTTGTTTCAACCAAAGGGCAAAGTCATATTAACAACTGCTACTAAGTCTATATACCTATTCAGTCTTACTACAAAACAGGCAACTGACTTCTCTGGTCACATGGAATCAAGGCACTGACGTAGGGGTCAGGGAGGTCCACAGGCACAGTGGGCTTCACTCTGGAACAGGATTACTGCGTGCAGCAGACCCAGTCATACTTAAAATCAACTCACAACCCAGCGTCCCCTGAGCTTTCTCTTAATCTTCTAGCCCAGCCCAACTCTTTGGTTAGGGGAGTTCTCACTGGAGATTTGTCTCTGGGATTCATGGGTGTATGCCCAGATCTTTTCGCCAGTTCACTTTTAGACCATGTTATCGTTTGTTTTGAATATCAGTCATTAAGCTTTGTTGAGAGTAGAGTGGCTTCCCATGAGGACAACTCACTTACAGCAAGTCTTTTGCTGAACACCATCAGCATATCCTTCCCAATTCTAGATCATTTCCTTTTATTTCTCTAGTAGCCTCGCCAGGGGCTTTGCACATGAAAGTGTTCATGAAATATCTGTCAGATGAAAGAACAGTAATGACACCTAACACATAATGAGTGGGCAGTATGTTGGAGTCATTGTGTGAGGTATTTACTGTGAATTATCTCATGTAATCTTCCCAGCAGTCCTCTGAGATAGGTTATGGTATTATTCCCATTTCATAGATGAGAAAACTGACACTCTGGGATATAAAACAACTTTTCTGAAGGCACAAAAGTGAATAAGAGAAACAGCCAGGGCCTAATTGAAGCCCATAACCATGAAAACATTGTGGAACTCACTCTTCATGAATGGTTTATGAGTTAAACAAAATGTCACCTAGAAAATAGATAAAAATATGTTCAACAAAGTCTGGATTTTTCTGATATTTACTACTGAATTTTCATTCAGTAACAAACTTCACTTCCAAAAAGGTGTTAGTATCTGATTTTCTACCTGCCTCAGCATGTCATTTGTCTGCCTTTGGGTAAACCAGCCTTGGGTAGAGAAGGGATTTGAGCCCAGGAAATTCATCTCCTGAACTGCTGGGTGTTTATTTTTTTCGTTAAGATTTGGGATACATGTGCAGAACATGCAGGTTTGTTACATAGGTATATAGGTGCCATGGTGGTTTGCTGCACCTATCAACCCATCATCTAGGTTTTAAACTCTGCATCCATCAGGTATTTGTCCTAATGCTCTCCCTCCCCTTCTCCGCAATCCCCTGACAAGCCCTGGTGTGTGATGTTGCTCTCCCTGCGTCGATGTGCTGTCACTGTTCATCTCCCACTTACGAGAGAGAACATGTGGTGTTTGGTTTTCTGTTCCCGTGTTAGTTTGCTGAGAATGGTAGCTTCCAGCTTCATCATGTCCTTGCAAGGAAAAATAAACTCATTCTTTTTTATGGCTGCATATTATTCCATGGCATATCTGTACCACATTTTCTTTATACAGTCTATCACTGATGAGCATTTGGGTTGGTTCCAAGTCTTTGCTATTGTAAATAATGCTGCAAAAAATAAACATACATGTGCATGTCTCTTTATAGTAGGATGATTTGTAATTCTTTGGGTATATACCCAGTGGTGGGATTGCTGGGTCAATGGTATTTCTGGTTCTAGATCCTTGAGGAATCATCACACTGTCGTCCACAATGGTTGAACTAATTTACATTCCCACCAACAGTGTGAAACCATCCCTGTTTCTCCACAGCCTCGTCAACATCGGCTGTGTCCTGACTTATTAATAATAGTCATTCTAACAGGCGTGAGATGGTATCTCAGTGTGGTTTTGATTTGTATTTCTCTAATGACCAGTGATGATGAGCAATTTTTATATGTTGTTTTGCCACATTTTGTCTATTCACAGAAACTAATATGCTGACAATGATAAGGATAATTCATGATTTCTGAGACATTTACTTCTATAATTTCACAGTTCTAAGTCTAGAAAAATTATTAATAGAAAAGTGCTTATAAACAGTAGGATAGATACTGAATCTAGCTTGTCTCACTTTGGAGCTAGTTCTTATGATTTGTGTTGGACTATATATTTTTGTCCAATCCCTACGGTACAGGACATGGGTTTGGTTTGGTTTTTCTCATCATTTTGCTGAGAACTAGTGAGCAGTGAAGCCACATTTCCAGCCCTGGAAGTTGGAGGCCACACTCTCAGCCAACTTACTGTTCTACACAGTTACTAGATCTGCCATCACCTATAACTCTGCCCGCATTAGACTATGTGTATGACTACTAAATCCCAGAGCAAGCAGAGTCAAACTGCTCAAACCAAACAGGTTATTTCTAGTCACACAAAAAGCGCCTACTTAGCAAAAGGTCATTCATCCAAGGATCACTTTGCTCAGGATATATAATATATTTCTTTGCCAATACCAAGACTGTGTTCAACCTAGACTGGAGGGTTTTAAATATCCCGCACTTCAAAACAAGAGCTTGATGCAGTCTTAGAGGAAGTGGGTCTTACACTCAAGGCTTTTCTCATTTTTAAGGACGCCCCAACTCCCATCATGGTGTCTGAGAGCTTTGAACAAGGAACCAATATGTTTTTATAGGTTATTAGCTCCAGTAACTGTACTTTAGGGAAGTGATAATAGTCACTTTTAAGCTTTAAAGAAGTGGTGTGTTTTTGTTGGTTTCATTTGTTTTTGGAATCTGCTCTGTTGCCCAGGCTGAAGTGCTGTGGTGCAAACGCATCCCACTGCAATCTCTGCTTCTGCATTCAAGTGATTTTTCTGCCTTAGCCTCCCAAATAGGTGGGACTACAAGTGTGTGCCACCATGCCAGGCTAACTTTTGTATTTTTAATAGAGATGGTGTTTGACCATGTTGGCCAGGCTGGTCTTGAACTCCTGGTCTCAAGTGATCTGCCTGCCTCGGCCTCCCAAAGCGCTGGGATTACAGGCATTAGCCACAGTGACCAGACTTAAAGATGACTCTACCTATATTTAAAATGACCCTGCCTTTATTTCCTCCCCTGAGTGACTTATAATTCCTGACTTGTTTGAAAATTAATATTCTGAAACAGTTTCAGGAAAAAATTAAAGCCTTAGTGGTTGGTCACAGCAAATGGGACTGTCAGAGCTCCTGCTGCTCACAAACATTGTTAAAATGGAGTAACAGGCACTACTAAAGGGAATTAAAGTCACTCTTATCTGAACGAACCCTAGACATTTTAAGTTCTGTGTCACCTGCATAGAATCTTTGTTCTTTGTCTCTCCCTTGTTGCCATTTAGAAAATCATCAGCTGAAACACTGAAATTGTCCCCATCATGGCAAACACAATCTCTGCCCTGGTTTTAATTTAAAAGAGATATTTATATTACCCTTCCCGTGAAGCAAGTGACTGGTCAATATGGTCTCCACTTGTGTTATCCATAAAAATTTCCCAAGTCAATTTACTTTTAGTATGAGGGAAACAAAATCACCCACTCTTTATTTTATAATGTTGAACTAAAATAGACTTCCGTTCTTGGCATATACCAGAGTTTCATTTTCATCAATGAAATGCACAAAGCTATAATTAACATCTCATTAAATTTATGACTTTCATAAAATAAATGATTATTAAAAGTATAAAACCCAATAGCCTTCCCAGAATGAGATGCTTTTGGCCACAGCAATGTCTAGACTACAGAGAAATATCTATATTACCCTTCTTCTCTTAGGCTCCCCTTTCTAAGACAGAGGTACACACATTGGTAGGCTACTAGAGGTAGCCCACTCGATATTTGGACAAGCTTCTCCAACCTAATTCTCTGGGATGTGCATAAATTAGTGACCTTCCACTGGAGAAAAGATAAATTAGCTTCCCCGAAGTTCTTCAGCCACAGTACAGCTGCCTTTCATTTGATTCGTATCACACAGAGAAGGACACTCAGTCGTTTCAGAGATCCTCCTAGGCTGCACCACATGCCTCCAGACCCTGCTTTGAAAAGAACCACAAAACAAAACAACTCTATTCACCAAAGGACATCAGGAGCCACAGACCACTTACCAAAAACTGAGTTAGGGCAGGATCCCTAGCCTCAAGACGGTTAAGGCTAATAATAACTCTGCCACAAAAAAAAAAAATGCAAAAAAGAAAAAAAAAGGATATGAGGAAGCACAATAAAACCCAGTTCATCAGGATTTCATCCATACCTAAGTCAATAATTGCTTCATTGAATGGAGTCATGACCAGGGAATTCTGACCCTACCCTTAAAATTGGAGTCTCTCTAACCTCATGGGCTTTTACTTCTTTTGAATCTCTGCACTCAAGTTTCCTATCAAGGCATGATCTAGATAAGTTACCGCTTTGGCCATGCTTTACAGCTAGAACATGGGGGCCTTCATCTAGGTTGGGAGCACTCAAAGCAACCTCAAATCCTGCTCAAGATCTTGGAAGGCTGAAGAATCAAATGCTTAGGTACACAGGGAATTTCTGCACTACTTTCAGTGATCTGGCTCTGAGATTGATATAATATTCTATCCAATATTTGGAATATTATATCTGAATTAATATAGAGTTGTTCTAGTGGACAACTGGCAGCAACAGATCACTTACCAAAAACTGAGTTATGGCAAGACTTAAATAGAACAAATCTATCTGAAAACAGTTAACCAAATATACAGATAAAGTAAAATTGTAGTCTCATATATTGATACCAACCAAGTATGTATGTGTCCATGTACAGTCAGCCCTTCACCTCATAGGTTCCACATCTATGGACAGAACCGACCATATCAAAAATATCTGGAAAGTGGCCAGCTATGGTGGCTCAGTGCCTGTAACCCCAGTACTTTGGGAAGCTGAGGAGGATGGATCATCTGAGGTCAGGAGTTCGAGACCAGCCTGGCCAATGTGACAATACCCCGTCTCTACTAAAAATACCTCGTCTCTACTAAAACTACAAAAATTAGCCAAGCATGGTGGTGATGCACACCTGTAATCTCAGCTTACTCAGGAGGCTGAGGCAGGAGAGTTGATTGAACCTGTGAGGTGGAGGTTACAGTGAGCCGAGATTGTGCCACTACACTTCTGGGTGAAAAAGTGAGTGAGACTTTGTCTCAAAGAAAAAAAAAAGAGGAAAAAGAAGAAAAAGAAGAAATATCTGGAAAAGACAATAACAAATAACAAAATGTTTTGAAATAAAGCGTAACAACTATTTGCATAACATTTACATTATGTTAAATATTATCAGTAATTTAGAGATGATTTACAGTGTACAGAAGGATGTGAGCAGGTTGTATGCAAATGCACATTTTATATAAGGGACTTGAGCAACCTCAAATCTTGGAGTCTGAGGGAGGTGCTGGAACCGATCTCCCCGTGGATACCAAGGGACAAGTATGTATATGTATACACTCATACAATGTATATATATGTATACACTCATACAACTATATATATGTATACACTATATATATGTATACACTCAATATGCAGAATCATGCAGTGGTACCTCAATATTGTCACATTGGGAGATTTAACTACTCTACTGCTGCTAGGAAATTAGTTTATGAATGTAAATGGGCAGGTGCCCTTAGAAGGATATGAGCCAATGTGTCCCTTTAATTATACCCAAATCCTACATTCAGATGGAAAAAGACAAAACAAGCAATGGCATCAGGGAATTGTCCACAGAGATATTCCATTTCTTTGTTTTATGCAAAACAAGACTCCTCAGTTTAGGCAGTTCTAAGTTGAAAATAATAAGCAATTTAAAATAATTTGACTGAGATATTACTATCTCCTATCAAAATTTTTCCACCTTCTTAAGACCCCCCTTCCAGAGCTAATTAAACTCTGAGGTATGCATTCTGTGTGGGAGGTTGGCACATAACCCCCAACAATTGAATGAGTGCTCATTCAATTTTCTTGTTCATTTTTCTATCAGATTTTCTGTATGTCACCATGTTTTAGATATATCAACTTGCTCAGTGTATGAGCACTGCTCAGTACTAAGCTTGGATTTTCTAATCTTTTCAGGCAGATTCGTGGGAAGAAAAAACACCAGCTGAGGTATATAGAGAAAAGAAAGAGAGTTTATTTACAAGAAAAGAAAAAGAGTTTATATACAAGGATACCTAGAGACGCTTATAAACTTCAACACCGGCAGTAAAGCAGCACGGGTTTTCGCAAGTCCAGACCAAGTCACCACCGAAGCTCAGCTTGGCTTCTGCTAAACAATCTTTTATACTTTTTTAAAACAAAGAAGGGTCAAGTCAGGACACTGTCCACATCTTCATCATGTAGCTAACATCCTTGAGGTGTTTACTAAAAATTGGATCAGGGAACTGGCCAGGTTCCCAGGTCTGGCTCTTCAGAGCCTTTTTTTGCATTGGGAAAATTCTGAGCTCGGAATGCTCCCAATGATAAGGAAATGAAGATATAGAGTCTGTCCATGACTTGTAAACATAATTAACTTTTTCTGTTCCATTACAATTTGGCCCTAGGCATGGGTAGACTTATTGTACACATAATAGTTGTAAGTAAATGCATCATATAAATTCTTAATGCGTTGATATAAGTACAAAGAATAGCAACAACTA